TGACAGCTTCTGCTGTAGTTGCCAGAGGATCAGCTTTGGTGATTGCTCTCAACTGGCCTGGCTGCTGTCAACTTCCAGTGGCCAGCCACTACACTTTTTCTTTTTTTTGACAGTCTCAAGCTGTCACCCTGGGTAGAGTGCTGTGGCATCATTCTAGCTCACAGCAACCTCCAACTCTTGGGCTCAGCGATCCTCTTGCCTCAGGTTTTTCTATTTTTAGTAGAGATGGGGGTCTTGATTTTTCCTCAGGCTGGTCTCCAACTCCTGAGCTCAAGCACTCGCCTTGGCCTCCTACAGTGCTAGGATTACAGGCGTGAGCCACTGTGCTGGCCTACACTCCTCATCTTCAAAGCTCTCGAGTCACTGTTATACTGTATTTATTGGCAGTTCCTGGAACAAATGCATGTTGATGTTGGAAGTTGTCTCCGCTGCTTTAGGAGCCACTTTGAACTAAAATGAGAAAATCTCTTGAATTTGCTTTTCATCTACCATCATTTCCCTAGTCCAAAATAAATATAAAGTAGACAGCAAGTAACAAGTCATTGGCAAAAAAACATAAAGCAAGAAATGTGCACTAAAATGATGTATTGCATAACACTTAAGAATGTATTCCCATTTCAAACAGCACATTTCAACAATGTGAAAACCACAACTTCTGCATCAACCTAATAGCTGCACTACAAGAACTTACCACCACACCCAACTAAGTTTTAAAATTTTTAGTAGTGACCCGTCTCACTGTATTGCTCAAGCTGGTCTCAAACTCCTGGCCTACAGTGATCCTCCTGCTTCAGTCTCCCAAAGTGCTAGGATTACAGTCAAGTGCCACTGTTCCCAGCCCCTATGACATAAGATTTTAATGAATGTCAGATAGCTCCCCTCATTTCACACAGTTTCATTTCCAGACTATCCAAGGCCCAGCTGTGCCTCTCATCCCAATAAGCAATGGCTTTTTCTTCTAGCAAAATTTGCACAGTTATATATACTACCTACTCTGGTCAAAGACAGTACTAGGCAGATTGGAGTTATATTTTAAGCTCAGAGTGTAAAAAATACTGATGTTTACAAAACATGAAACACTTGAAATGAAACAGATGATCAAGGGCTCTGATGGATTAGTTTTGAGCATTTGTACATGAACCGTCATGACTGCACAGTGGCTCCCAGAGGCAGAAAAGTGGCACAGGCCAACCAGCCTAATATCCATTGCACCTCCTTCCCTTATCAGTGCAATTGACAGCCAGAAGCCCTTTAAAAAGTTATTTCACCACTTTCAAAAGCAAGGTACCACACATTAAATATCCTTTTATTTGATCCAATTATTTGATTCAAGTATTAAGCAATAACAATAAAAACATATCAAAAAGCAGTGTGGTTATCCCTCAAAAAAGGCGATGAGATGGTTTAAGAGGTTGACAAACCAGATGTGGAAAACCAGGATATACAGATTAAGTACCAAGGAGAACATATACCTTGATACAGGAACCAAAATATGTGGCTATAAGATAGGGGGTTTTAATGTAACAATTATTCTTAGTAGTCATGCCAACAGTAATTGGAGAAACATGTACCCAATTATTGAGAGGTTGTACCTGGGGAAAGGATGGGTGAGTGTGTACACTTTAATACACATTTCAATGCCTAAATTTTGAAGAATATGCATTGCTTTTGCAATTTAAAAACAGCTAAAATCAGATCAAATGATCTGACGTGGTAAAAACACAAATGTACATGGCATCAGCAAGCTATATGTAGTGGCTTTACAGAGATCAAACTAAAATTCTAGTATTTTCAGACCTAATAAACATTATATTAAGATTAGTAAGGAAAATGAGATAAGCAAATAAAGAAATGTAGACATTTTTTATTCAAGAATTTGGAAGGTTGCTATATTCAAAACACCTTATCTTTATTATACAGAAATTTATAAGGGTAGTTAGCTTTAAGAAAAAAACCACAAAATATTATGAATTAAATTTTACAGCAGAGACAAAAAAGGCATCAGATTGGTTTTAGAGAAAGGCGCTTTTAAATACACATTTCCAAAGAAAAATTTGATACTGGGAGACTTTTTTTCCCACTCAATTTTTCTAATAAAGGATTTTTCTCTTTATTAAGACATTTCTTCTTGAGTTTTTATATGCAAAATTTATCAAATGGATAATTTCCATAGTAATAGGCTAAACCAGTTAAAATACATATGTAATTTACATGATTAGAAAGCTAATTATGACATTACTGCACAGGTTTGCTATTACCGCATAGGTCCTGAACACACTGCAGCTACACTAACTCCTTCATTTCAGATTTGTAGTTGCATCATCCTAACTGCATCTAATGGTAGAAGCACCACCTTGTGGCAAAAATAAAGAGCTTTTAAATGACAGAAGTCAGGGCTAGCTGACCACAGAGGAAAGAACAATTTGGTAGGTTTCGGAGGCCCTGTAATGTTTTATTTCCTGACCAGGATAGCAGTTCCACAAGTGCTCACTTTATGATTATTTATTAAACTGTGTGACTTTTCTGTATTTATTGTATTTTACAATTTTAAATGTTTAGAAAAAAGGTTTTTATATGTACCTGAGTTAAAAGTCACATGTCTCAATACTTAAATTTTTTAAGCACTAAATTGTATTTCTTAGAATTTCCTAGAACTAAATGCATTCTTAATTTTGTAAATGCACTGCTGTATTGTTATGACAGGAAATAAAACACCACAAAGAGATGTCTTGTTTGGTAAGCAACACAAGGATTCCCTTCAGAGGTTCTCCTCAGCATGTTTTCATCCCTGCTCTCTCAAAGCCTCCAAGGGCAAATGCAGGGCTCTGGAATCATCTAAAGACATCTATACATCCAGACCAACAGGTCTGAAACTGGTCAGAAGAAAAAAACCAATAGATTTTGCCCCCACCAATATAAACTATCAAGGATATATGGCACATTACCCATGGAATAATATTTAATCAAAAAGATTTTCCCTTTTATGTTTTATTTACCTTACTTCCAGGGCTTGATATGCAGCCAGGGTTGTCCAACCTGCGCCCACAGTCTGCAACTGATTTTGTGAGGACCTTTTTATCTGACCTGTAGTGCCAGATAGCATGAAAAGTATGTACGGACCTTGTTTTTTTTTGCTAATCAATTTTCATTAGTGCTTGTGTATTTAATATGTAGCCAAGACAACTCTTACTCTTCCAATGTAAGAGGAAAAAAAAAAAAAAAAAGACGGACACTCTGAACAATGACTTGCCTTAGTTGGAGAGATTTTCACCCTCTCTTCCTTAGCAGCTAACCACATAACACTTAGTACCACTCTTTAAACCTAGAGCAATTTGTTTTAAAGGGAGAAAGCCTTGTTCCTTTTTCCCAGAAGGCTGTCAGGATACTTCGAAGACCACCTCCTCCCTATTACCCTCACCGAGGCGCCCCCAACAGATACATTTATAAGAGCTCATAACTCATAGAGAAGAAGAAGAGCTCATAGCTGACAGGGCTGGTAGCCCAGTCTGAGCCAGCGTGCACCTGCAGAAGTACAACTGCGTCTCCTAGAAGCTGCCTCCTCTCACAGCTTCCATTCCATCACGGATATAATGCTTACCCCGATTTAACCTCTGCTTTGTTCCAATACTGGGAATACTAGATATAAAGTACATCAAGTTGGGGGCAGATCTGCCTGAGAGTACTTCACAGGGCAATGCTTTTTACTGAGTTAATGCTACCTGCTAAAATAACCTTTATGCTAAAATTAAGTACAGAAAAATTTTTTTAAGCCATTAGAATGTTATCTAGAAATTTTTGACTTAGGCCACTTCAAAGGTGTTTAATATAGAAACAGCCACTAACCAAAGGTCTGTCTCTTATAATTTGACACATTCAGGTAGGTCATGAGGATTGTTCAGTCAAGAGTTTGTTTCTACCTACAAAGAAACACTGTACTGCCAAGATCTCTGTAACTTCCTTAAGTTACAGTCTTTTAAGAGTGAAAGAAGGAATACTCTCATGGGTCTTTTACAGTGTTAAAGAGAAGAGTGGGATTATTTAATTTAAATATAACAAAGTCAAATTCTTATTTCACCTTTAAAACAAGTAATAAAATAAAAACTTAACACAAGTTACTAAGATTTCTAGAACTGTCTATTTGGAAATATTTCACATAAACCAAAGTTATGATATTATTAATGAAAAATCTTGGTGTTGATATTCCACATTAGTTATATTTCAGTCTTCTAATATAACCCAAGTTCAACTCACCATTCTACCTAAAAAAGAACAATATTTTCAAGAAGATAGTTAAAAATTTTTTTGCCCTTTTTCTCCTAGAAATAGGTATAATACATTCATGAGAGAGAATCTTAATGATAAAGTGTAACAGAGAATTACTACAACTCAATGTGAATATAATCTTTTAAAGTCTTTGTTACAATTGGAATAAAGAACTTGGTAATTCTAACAGAATGTTATTTTTAATAAAAACTTATTTCTATTATTAATAAAACTAAGAGGTACTTCTAATCATTCAAAGTCTTATAACAAGCACAGAAAAAACACATACTTAATAACAAATAGTGAGCTTAGGCACAGTTTCACATAGATTGTTTCACTTTCAAGAAATCAAAAAGCTTTAGGAAAGTATTACAATTATGAAAAGGTTAAATTTTTAAAGCTCTTTCCCTCAACTTTGGCTAAATGTAACCACATTAAAATACTGACATAGTCCATGATCATGAAAAAGAAACATAAAATGGTAGATTTATTTTAATCCTTATTTAAGAATGATATTTAAACAAAGCTCTTTACTATGCCTTTCAGATTAAAAAATAAAAACTGATGGTATACAGATGTTCTTGAGCTGGGAAATTCCTAAAGTAATGGAGTCATGTTCAGGAAATGATATTCAAAAATATAAATGAATATCATTTATATTCATAAAATAATGAATTTATTCAGGAAACATGAATTTTTCTGTTAAATACAACTTTTTCAACTGCTTCCATGAAAAGCAATACTTTAAAATTTTTCAGTTGTAAATTCTTAGCTTGCAATGTTCTAATTTTTCCTTTATCTTAAAAATTTCTAAGTGACATTTAATATATTATCTTCTGTTTCTTCTTAAAGAACTAGTGTTCATAAAAGGATCATCATCATCATCCTGAAATGACATATAAATGTTATGTTAGTGACTATTCCACACTTCACTGAAATAAGACAGAAGTTCTTATGGGCAAATCAATATTGATCAGAGTCACCTTCTTCTTACATACAAGGTAAACTCCATTTTTCCATTTTCTTTATAAATGCAAAATATATAAGTCCATTTAAATTCTTAGTGAGCATTAAAAATAAAATCTTAGCGCTCGCTTCAGCAGCACATATACTAAAACTGGAACGATACAGAGATGACTAGCGGCCCCTGTGCAAGGATGACATGCAAACTTGTGAAGTGTACCATATTTTAAATAAGTAAAATAAATACATAAAAATCTTACCTGTTATGCATGTGTATATCTCTACACCTATAACATATACCATATACAATTCCCTCAATTATTGGCATTAATAATAGCAGATGAGGTGTGGTTATGTGAGGAAAAAATAATTCCTCAAGTCATCATGTTTGCTTTTTGATAGGTTTTTTTCTTTTACATTTCATTCTGGTACATCTGCTGTTCTGGGGAAATTACCTCAGAAGCAGCTATCACTCTTACTTACCATTACTCATTTAATGCTAGAAGTCAACTCTTAGATTAATGCAAAAAGCAACCTAGTAAAGCAATCTTTCCAACAGTTTTTTGGAAAAAGAAGTAGATGGAAAATTTAAGAGATCCAGTGTTGCATGGCAAGCATAAACAGAAATATTAACTATTGCCTAAGAATTTGATGAAAGAGAAGGAAAACAACTAACAACCCTCAGGTAAGCCCAAGGTGTATAATTCAATGAGGATAAGATACAAGTGATTCTTATGTATTCAGTAATTAAATATTCAGAAGATCAAGCAAATTTGTTTACCAATTTTTGATTTATGTTCCTTTTAGGACATTAATAAAAGAAACTACTATTTGATGTTAGGTTTAACACATTCAAACGTCAGCTAAGTTAACCATTTCTGGTGAGAAATGGATGCACTGAAAAAATACAAATTCACTTTCATTTACTGATTCATTTGCTATTATGAAAGGCAGAACTTTAATGAACCAGTTTGGATTTACTAGAAGTCTAATAGAAACTTGCTAATAGTTTTTCTTTGCTGGCAACATAAGCTAGTAGATTTTTAACTGTAATATGTATCTAGATGCTTTGGATGAGTCACTAACTGCTAGCTTCCCTCCTCTAGCAAGACATTAGTATTAATGGTAGATTGAGCTCCTATTGCTATTTTTCTTCACAGCCTGAGTTGTGGTGAAACCTCTCAAGCTGTTTAAAATCACAGCTGAGATTTAGGGAAGACAACCACAGCAGCTGAAGCGCAAAATGAAAGGGGCTGAGTTATGTGTTGCAACACGGATAAAGGTTGAGGACACTGTACTACATGAAATAAACCAGTCACAAAAGACATATCCTGCATGATAGAATATCTTTATCAAAAATAGGCAAATTCACAGAAAGAGAAAGTACAATAGTGGCTGCCAGGGGCTGGAGAAAGAGGGGAATGAAGACTTATTTAAGTGGTACAGAGTTTTAGTTTTGTAAAACAAAAAGTTCTGACGATCTGTTTTACAACATCATAGACACACTTAACTACTCCTGAATTGTGCACTTAAAATGGTTAAGATCTACTTCAAGTAGAATGGCCATTATTAAAAAGTTGAAAACAAACATAAGTTGGCACAGATGTGGTACAAAGGGAACAGTTACACACATACACTACTGGTGGACTATAAATTAGTATAACCCCTATGGAGATCAACACAGAGATTTCTCAAATAACCAAAAGTAAATCTACCATTTGATCCTGCAAACCTACTGTATCTACTCAGTAGAAAAGAAGCCATTACATCAAAGAGACACCTGTACTCCTATGTTTATCAGAGCACAATAAACAAAGATGTGGAATCAACCTAAGTGCCCATCAACTGATGAGTGGATTAGGAAAATGGGGTGCATATATGTGCCATGGAGTATTACTTAGCAATAAGAAAGAATGAAATAATGTCTTTTGCAGCAACTTGGATGGAACTGGAACCCATTATCCTAAGTGAATAACTCAGGAACAAAAAAACAAATGCCACAAGTTCTCATTTGTAAATGAGAGGTAAACTACGACTACACAAGGTCACAAGAGTGGTACAATGGACACTGGAGACTCACGACAGGGGAAATAAGGGAGTGAGGAATGAAAATTCAGCCTATGGGGTGAAATGTACACAGACTCTACCGACTCTACCACTAGACAATATATACATGTAGTGGAATTCAACTTGTACCCCTAAACATATTAAAAGTGAATATGTTTTTTTAAAAATGGTTAAGATGGTTAAGTTTTATGTTATGTGTTTTTACCACAATTAACAATCTTTAAAAAAAAAAAAAAGGAAGGGATTGATAGCCTAAGAGAAACATCTCCAAGCAATTCAATAAAAACTGCCAAAGGCCCTTCAAATGGCAGCCATGGAGGAAAGGAAAAGGCCAGCTTCCTTCGTTCATGCAGCTTTAATTCAACTTCATTGAAACAACAAATGAAAATGGCAAGAGGCAAGTTATGATTAGCCTGCCTCCTATTCCTCCTCATGCAGCCAGAGATTTGATGGTTGTCTGGTCTAGACGACCGTTTGCGGTTTCCGCCACATCTCCTACAGAGGGCGCTCCAGTCAACGCCCGAGTGCCTCTGTGCTGTGACAATCACCAGGCACCGTCTCATGTAAGATGCGCGTCAAGCGCACAGTGAGTACTCAATAAATACTCCACTATAGAACTATTAAAAGCTCTGGGGACAGCAGCATCATCATTCCTCCAAATATGAATGGCAAAAGCAAAAAAAAAAAAAAAATTCTGACCCTCTACTGTTAACTGGGCAAATTAAAAGAGAGCTGAGTGAAAATCACATTTTAAAAACTTGCAGGCCTTTTATACCTGAGGTAATAACCTTGACAGGCACTCAACAGATGTTACTGGTAGACCCTTTCCATTAACTATAGTTCAAAGAAAGACTAGCAAAGAAACTATTTTTAAGATAATTTTTAGAAACAAGCAGGTAGTCCTTATTTAAATTTTACAAAGTTAAAAATTAATTGAAATTTAACATTATTATTTTATTACCTCATCTGATTCAAAATCAACCCCTTTGGCTATTTGGCTCTGGGACATAGATTTGCTGGATGACACACTGGAGCACCTAAGGCCAAAAAAAAAAAAGAAAATGATGAACCACAGGATCTATCAAATGTCCTATGCATGTGTTTTTCAATCTAGTAGTAGCCATGAACAAAAATAGCACACAATTCCCTTCAATCTACATAGGAAAAAGTCAAAACTTAATGGGACCAAGTCTGAATTATAGGTCTGCCATTTACTCACTATGTGCTCTTGTTAAAGTTATTTAATTTTTCTGTGCCTCAATTTCCTCATCTGTAAAATGAGGATAATAGTTTTTTAAAGATTAAATGTGTTAATATGCTTAACACTTAGAACAGTGCCTGTCACATGTTAAGTACTACAAAAAGATTAAATTACTATAGTTCCTACCAGATATTAAAATGTATCCACTACCATCTACTTCTGAAAATTGTGAGAACACTTAAATATTTTCAATTCACATCTCAGCAAGAAAATTATGATTTCTACTCTTATGAAGTTTACTTATAGTAAATTCCTAATTTTTTTTATTGATAAGAATTTTAAATTTCCTAGCCTGCCACCTCATTTTTTTTTTTTTTTGAGACAGGGTCTCAAATAGTTTTCACATTTTGAAGTGGCTACATTTTAAATGGTTCTTCAAGTACCTACCTACATAATATAATATGCACAGTTTTGCATCCTGGCCTGCAAAGCCTAAAAAATTTACTGTTTAGGCTTTTAAGAAAGAGTTTGCTGATCCCTGTCTTAAATAATAGCAGTTCTTTGTAGTAGAATTCTTTGTCTACAGTTTTATTAACATGTTTTGGGATGTTATTACAGCAAAAGAAGTATGTCCAAATGTCTTGTCTAGACAAAGAAGATAAGAATTAAGAGATCTCACATCAGAAGTAAACAGCAAAATTTACAGATCCTTATACACAAAAGTAAGGGAAAAGGGGATCTGTCAGGCAAACCTGAAGGCAGGGGTCCTCAAATTTTTTAAACAGGGGGCCAGTTCACTGTCCCTCAGACCGTTGGAGGGCCATACTGTGGGCCCCGGGATGAGTCAGCTGCTAAGCAGGACAGGCAGCGGTGGCAAAAACACCTGGCGGGCCGGATAAATGTCCTAGGCAGGCTGCATGTGGCCTGTGGGCTATAATTTGAGGACGCCTGCTTAAGAGTAACTAAGGTTCAGAGGCAGAGGATCTACAAATTTATCAAGATCCACACCTAAGTGACAGAGCTTAAATACTTGAAATTATAAATGAAATAACATACACACCCAGAAATTACTAAGAAACTCCGCATAAACAATCTAAATTGTTATTCTGTTGCCATCATTAGAAGCACAACTCTGTCAATTTCTAAACAGCTTCTTGAAATTTAAATGATTCTTACTGCTTACATGAGCTTCATTACTATGTCAAACAAAAACCCTGAGGCGTTTGGGAGCAGAAGTGTGAGTACCTAGGTGACCTTAGGTAAGTCACTTAGTCCACTATGCCTCACTTTCTCCATCTGTAAAATAGGGATGACAGCGTTACAGGTCTGTCTATCTCCTGGGGCTTCTGTGAGCACCACGCAAGCTCATTTATACACAAAGTGCTTAGAACAGTGCTGGGCAGGTACAAAGTGCTAAACAACCATCATTTACTATTACACTAATACCTCATGTCTAAATAAGAAGTCAGTAAGCATTCATACTGCTGAGAAGTAAACAACCCGAATGATCATGAAAAGTATTTTCTATAATACCTTTAAAGATATGTCTAACATCCTAAAATAGTATTTTTCATTAGTTCCTTGATCCACTCTTGGAAAAAAACGAAGAAAGCTAGACCAGATTTGTTGGTGAGTGCTTTAATTTGTAAAGGAAAGAAAGAACAACCAAAAAGGACTAGAAAAGGGTTTCACTTCCTTCTAGAACCTAAGGTATCCTGATATTCTTTCAATATATCTCCTTTTCCCTCAGCAAATTTGAGTTAGGTTTCTAATAGCCGGAGTCCTATTTTACATACATAAATGAGCCTGAGAAATTCAAGTAAATGTTCATGGACTAAAAGAACACCTTCAACTATCTAACACAAAATATATAAACCTACTTGCACCTGTGCTTATCTTGGGATTTCTTTTTTTTTTACTCCTCCTATAAAGGCCAGTAAGAGCTTATAGTTACACGTACTCTATACTCTCTAGGATTTTTCTCATGTCTTTCTTGTTCCTTTTTCTACTTTACCCAACTCTAAAGTTTATAACTACAGGACAGGAACACAAGCCTGCCTCTCTGTGTGTTTCCAGGTCATCCCACCCACCCCAATGGCTTTATGTACCATCTTTATGCTATCCAGTGGTAAACCTAGATGTCATTTCAAACCCTCAGTTAAGCTCCAGATTCACATACCCCATCACCTATATAACCCTCCTTCGTGTAAGTTTCACGGGTACTCTATACTTCACTTCTAAAGCAGTTTTTTGTTTTTATTTTTTTTATTGAGGTAGTCTCACTCAGTCACCCTGAGTAGAGTGCCCTGGCATGATCATAGCTCACAGCAACCTCAAACTTTTGGGGTTGAGTAATCCTCTTGCTTCAGCCTCTCAAGTTACTGGGACTACAGGCGCCTACAACAACACCAGCTACTTTTTCTTTTTTCAGTACAGATAGGATCTCGCTCTTGGCTCAGGGTGGTCTTGAACTCATGAGATCAAGTGATCCACCTGCCTCAGCCTCCCAGAGTGCTAGGATTACAGGCATGAGCCACCACTCAGAACTTTTGATTATATGCCTGAGAACACTACAAACCCCTATTCCTCCCCTCTTCTATGCCCTCTCTAGATATGCCATATTCTGAACGCTCAAGCAAAAAACCTCAAAGTCAATCTTGATTCCTTATTCTCCTTTACTTCAAATAATTCAACCCATCCCCAAGTTTTGTTATGCCTGTTTTCAAAATATACCCCCAAAGCATCTCTTCCCCCATTTCGCCTGCCACCAGCCTATGCAGCCTCCATTGCCTCTCAGCTGGACTCCCACTGGACCTCCTTTCAGGTCAGCCTGTTTGCACTTGTAGGTCCTTCTGCAACCACAGGGATCCTTTATAATGTAAATCAGACATCTCTGCACCCCCCCCCCCAAAATCCTCCCCTGGCTTCCCTATGCATTTATAATATGCAGTATAAAAATTCAAAATCCTCACATGCTCACCTGTCCCTGCAGCAGGATTTACCCCTTCCTCTCCTCTCCATTTTCATCGCAGGCCACCTCCTTTCCACCAGGCTTTTATCACTGTCTCCTAAATTACATGAAGCTCATTTCTTTCTCAAGAAGACTCAGCATGTGCTTTTTCCCATGCTTCTTGCAAAGCCAAGTCACTCTTCTTATAACTTCAACCTAATACAGCCTCCTCAGAAGCCTTCCCTGACCACCTTCAAAGTGATGTCTGTGCCCTGGGCCACTGGCTCATTCTTGAGGCACCCAGCATAGAAAGACATGTAACTGTAAAATTCTGGAAAATTTTAAATTTTTTCAGATGATTCTTTTTGTAGGAAGTCACTGCACCTACCTTTGATCTGTCTTTGAAGTGGTAGGAAAAATGTCATCTTCCTCATCTGATTCATCCACCTCAATCACCTGGGGGGAGGGGTGGGACACAAAGTAACAAATAGTTTTTCTGGGAATGGAACATCCAAATAAAAATGAGTTAAATAATTGAATCTCAAAGTGTGTGTGTTTTTTTTAAATATACAAAAAAGTCACAAAAAGGAGGTAGAAACCAAGTTAGCAGCAACTATTACGACTGAAGCTCAGCCTGAGCATCCTCCAGTATCTCTCTTCATTCACAAATATTATTTTCTATTACATGTCTTAGCTCACTTCTCTCCTGGCCATCCCAGGACCATGGCTACCTAAAGGAACACACAGTTAGACTGGTGAATGACTCACCCAGGCTTACGTACAGACTGTGCCCTGCTATCTCCTTCTTGAGTTTTGACAGCATGTCAGACCATCAGTGTTCCACCTCCAACTTTAGATGAGGTAACAGAATGTACTAGGTATCTTTCTGTTACATTTATCCTTGTTAAATACCGTTTGTTACTATTAAGATTCAATAAAGATTTCTGAGTCTCAATTCTATCATTCAAAATACTAACTACTTCTGCACATTTTGTATTATCATGATACTTAATAAGCACATTTCCTAAGTCTTCATCTAGCTAAAGTGCAGATGAGGATGAAACCAGGAACAAAGTACTGAACAAACAGCACCAGGGCCAAGGATGCTGCTAAACATCTCACAATGTAGGACAGTCCCCACAACAAAGAGTTACCTGATCCACAATATCAATAGTGCTCCTCTGGCTCGGCGACTGTAGCTCAGCGGCTAGGGTGCCGGCCACTCACACCGGAGATGGTGGGTTCGAACCCTGCCTGGGTCTGCCAAACAACGACACTACAACCAAAAAATAGCCAGGTGCCTGTAGTCCCAGCTACTTGGGAGACTGCGGCAAGAGAATCACTTAACCCCGAGAGTTGGAGGTTGCTGTGAGCTGTGATGCCACAGTACTCTATGCAGGGTGACATAGACTTTGTCTCAAAAAAAATAAATAAATAAACTGTGCCCCTCTGAGAAACACTTTCAATATTAGTATTCCACGCATGGCCCTTTTAGTTCAACACTATTATCCTTAAAAATATTACTGTATATATAACAATTATGGACTACTAATGAAGTGAATCTCTATTATTTTTAAAAAGAATGAAAGAAAAAACCTAAAACAAAACCAAATCCTAGAAACCCTCAGAAAAGATAACTAGTAAAGCTTCTCCAGCTTTAAAATTCCATAATTTTTCTTCTTTAATTTACTTTGTAAATCAAAGAGTTGACAATTCATAAGGTAGGGAACGTACATTAGCAAAATACAAATACAAAACTGTTTTCCTTACCTCTGAATAATTCTTGGTAGCAACATTTCGAGAGGGTTGCTGTCTTGTAGATTTAAAGGCTATAATTGAAAAGATGAAACATGTATTATATTATTCTTAAAATAACTTAGAAAAGAACTATACATTTCTTTAGCTGAAGATTTTCTAAGTCCTATCTGCAAAACCCACGACCACTAATTATAAAACCATTTATATTATTTAAAATCCAAGGAGAGGTAAAATTACATGTTCAAATAACTCAATGCTTTGCTGTCAGTCTTATGACTTCCCAGCTTATTCAAATATAGTAGTAAGCGCTGTTCATAAAACCAACACACTAAAATAATTTATAGAAAAATAGCTAAAGAATAAACTCTGATCACATGAACAAGTGAACTCTAAACACACTGAAGGTAAGCCTGCTAGTCCCTCCCTGGTGTGTCAGGAGCCATGTGGGTCCAGAAGAGCTTCCTCATTCCCCTGTATTGGAATGAGGAAGCCACGTCTCCTAAGTCTTGCCAGTTTGCTAGTATCAAAAAAACTTCTGCAAGTTAACCCACAAACTAAACAACAAGGAAAGAAAGGAAAGGCAAGGAAAGAAAGAGGATTTTAAAAAGTCAAATACTCAAAGAATTCCACAGAGTCCAAAATTCTTCATGTCAGAAAACCTCAGGAATCTTTGTACCTCATCTATCATTTACTCATGTTTCCTATTCCAGGCTCTATGCCCAACCCTAGAATATCTTGAGAGGAGAGATGAGAGGCAGAAGCAGAGTCCTTATCTGCACCACTCAATTACTTACTGTTCTCACATCCCACTCTTCTCCCAAGCTGAGACAGGGCAACTGAATAAAAGCCACTGATCAGGACACTGTCAAAGAATATTTCAGCTCAATACTGATCCACAGACTCAAACTGAGATCCCTGAAAACAAGACCTCTTCCTTTTTATTCTTGGTGGATAGCAAAAATGAGTATCTATGAAATAAACTTTATCAGAAAAGAAGCACTATGTTTTGTTAGGGAGGCAATATAGTATAATGATCAAGAGCACTGCAGTTGACTCATTTTAACTTACTTGCTTGACTAAGGCCAAGTTCCTTGGCTTCTTTAAATCTCAATTTCCTTACCTATAAAATAGTATTACTACTTCATGCAGAAAACTGTAGAAAGGATAAGAGGTGGTTATAAACAACTTTGACAAGTGCCCAGCAGGTAGAAAGTATTCAAATACACGGAGCGAACAGTAGTAGTAAATGTGACGGCAGCAGGGGTCAAGGTAGTGGCTTCGGGGGTACCTGTATTTGCTGAGTCACGTCCTCTGCTGATTAACTTCAACAGGAAAATCAGGGCTGTCGATTCTTACATAGAACTGCGGCTGGCTATAAATGTAGTTTCTACCTTTCCCAGTAAAATTTCAGCGCAGTAATAAATCTCCATACTCCATGGAGCTTGTTATAATAGAAGCTGACCTTTATTGTTTCTTCACTCCTCCATTTATAATAGACTTATTAGAGTCTAATTTGTTGCTGCTGTTCCACAGTGATGGCACGTATAGTTAGTACCCCGGGGTTTTACTAGAGGCTTACCACTCTACCTTGATAAAAATGTTTCACAAATTCATATTAAAAAATCAGTTCATTTTCCCCAAAAAGCCCAATATTGGAGGCAATCAGTTAAAATTAGCAAAACCACAAGATCAAATCAATTAGATAAAAGAATAATTCAGACCGATGATTTATATAACATACAATGTCATAAACTTACCACAAAACACTGCCACTGATATTAGCAGTAATCATCTACTGAATTTTTATAGGTCCTATGATCAGTACTACATATACTTAAGCTCATTTAATATAACTACTCTGTGAAGTCAGTACAGCATCCCCAGTTTTATAGCTAAGGGGTTATACTCAGTGAGGGCTTAATGTGCATAGACACTGTGCTGGGTATGCATTTTCACATTAATCCTCAGAATAACCCAATGAGGTAGACAGAATCAATCATTACTCAACCTGATGATGAGAACACTGAAACTTAAAGATGGAAAGCTTAACTAATCTGCTGAAGGACACACAGGTAGTACATCAAGGAATCAGGATTCAAACCAAGATCTTTCTGACTTCAGAACCTTGCTCTTAATCTTCATGCTATACACCCTCCGAGAAACCTTTATTTAGTCATTCTCAACTATTGAGCACCTCCTATATGCCAAGCATTACGGATACAGTGAGTAAGAATGGCGCTGCCTTGTTCTCGTGGCACTTACAGTGCAAGGGTGCCAAGCAGCAAGTGACAAGCCAGCCAACCAAGTCAGGCCTGACTCCAGAGCCTGGATTCTTAACCACAATCAGATTTTTGCCTCTTCATGAACATAGTTCATGAAATCTGAAGTTCGGTATTAATTTGGCTTACTGATATAGCTTCTTTCCGCAGATGAATACAGTACTTTAAAAAAATTAGGCCAATCTGCAATCCATAATTGGTCTTTAGTCTTGCTACATGAATAGAAGCTTTATTCTACATTATTAATGGATAAGAGCATCAGTCACTGAAGATTATCTCTGAAAGTCTCATTGGCATAGTGGTTCTAACCACTAATGCTGGAAAAGTAAAAGTAAAAGAAAAATAATAGTTTACAAAACCCCCATCAGACAGAGTCCTAGATGCAAAGAAGGCAGCCACACATCAGTGTTTAATAAAGAAAACAAGGATAAAAATCCGTTATCTGTTCACCATAGGCTATGTTATCCAGACAGACACTTCTGCCAGCAGTTAAAAATGCTTGAAAATTGGCTCGGCGCCCTTAGGACAGTGGTCACAGTATCAAGTCACATGCACCCAGGCTGGCGGGTCTGAAGTTGGCCCAGGCCAGCTGGACAACAATGACAACTACAATAAAAAAAATAGCCGGGCGTTGTGGTGGGTGCCTATAGTCTCCGCTACTTGGGAGACTGAGGCAAGAGATTGCTTAAGCCCAAGAGTTGGAGGTTGCTGTGAGCTATGACACCACAGCACTCTACCAAGGGCAACACAGTGAGACTGTCTCAAAAAAAAGCTTGAAAATCTAAAAAATTAAAAACAAAACAAAACAAAACAAAAAAACAACTCAGTGTCACTGAAGAGCTGGTCACATGAGGAAGTGAAGAAATCTAGACTCAGAGAGGCCAACAGAGTCCTTTCCCTGAGATCTTTTGATCTGGGAAAATGTTAACATTAGTTGTGAGAGTCTGTAGGATAATGGTTAGAGCTACTATAAGCCCAGCCTACCTAAAGCAGACGCCTGATGCATTTCCCCCTAACCTTAAGGTGGGACCCTAATGGTTAAAGAGAAAACAGAGGTAAACAGGATTTCATAAGCATCTATGACCATATCCCCTGACCAATCCAAATAACTCTCAGGTTATACATTCAGTTCAAAGTGGTCTACGACTTGTGGTACCCTACAAACTTGGAGAAACACAGACAAATACTCTCTGGATGAAGACAGCTTCACCTGAGGTCTCAAATTATTTCTACTGATAATTTTCCAGAGACAACAGACAACAAAACGTGGATGGAAGTAAGTCATCATAAATGAGAACCAACAGAAAGAGGCCAAAAACAGTCAGATGCTAGGTTGTTAGACACAAAATACAAAACAAATATCCTTATCATGCACACACAAAAAATTAAAGACATAGCCAAAAGTATGTGCAGGGAACCTCAAAAAAACTATTAAAAATGACAAAGCACACAGAAAAAGAACCAAATAGAATTTCTACACCACCACCCCCCCACACACAAAAAGGACAGTTGAAAATTCAAAGGACAGTTTAAAAAATACATGAGTGAAGTAGAGGACTGAATAGAATACTCAGAATGTAGCACAGGAAAAGAAAGTAACAGAAACACAAACCAGGTCATGAGTCACAGGAGGATAGAGCAAAAAAGTCTTATGTTTATTTATTGAAGACCCAGAGAAAGGACAAAAAGAATAGCATAAAGGTAACATTTGAAAAGATAATAGCTAAGAATTTTCTGGAAATGATGAAAGATACCAATTCACAGATTCATAAAGCCTAATAAATCCTAAGGAGAATAACAAAGAAATTTCAATTCATCATAGTGAAATTGCAGAATACCAAAGACAGCAAGCTGAGGGAAAAATAGGTTACTTTAAAAAAATGCAGTAAGTATAATTTATATCTGATTTCTTAATAATAGAAACCCAAAGAGTCACTTCAAGTGACTAATTCTACCTACCAGTGTCAAGGAATGCTTCATATAAAATAATTAAGCCGGGACAAAAATAAAAGCAACTTGGGCTAAAGTAAAGGCAGGTAATCTATGACTCTGGCAACTGTACGCTATACAACGTTTGGTGGTTTAATATGGAAGTGGTCATATTCTATTCACTCTCTTTTCCTATGTTCTTCTGTCTTTTCATTTTTTGTAATAGTAACAGTAGCATTCATTCATTCACTCACTCACTCACTCACTCCATGTCCCCCCATTCACAATGCCGGCACAGGGCTAGGGCTGAGGTGTACGTGGGCAGGTTTACTCTGCTTCTTCTTTCTGTATGATCAGAGTCACAACACAGCCTATGGTAAGCACCAGTAACAACAGCATTTCATAAATGCCTACTGTGTGCCAGGTTTTGGCTTATTTAATCTTCAAAATAACCCAATACAGTAGAGGTTATTTTTCCCAACTCATATGTAAACTATGAGAGTGAGTTGTCTCAAATCACAAAGCCATTGTGTGCTGAACTTGGGAGTTGAACTCAGCTTAGATCCTTTTCAATTTACCAGGCTGCCTTCTCTCTCTTCTTCTCTGCTTTTGTATGAAACCCACCAAAAAGGAATAGCATTTTTCTGAATGTCATTGCCTAAATGGCAATAAAGATGTTTCTGAAGTCAAAACTAAGGATCTAAGTTGGCTCTCCTGAAGCACTGAATAATACCTGAGTAAAAACACAGCAACAGAATTTTTGGTAAGGTTATCTAAGAATCATCTAATCAATCTGTTGTTCGTAGCCTTTTTCCAATGTCAGCTGTATCCAATAATGTTGAAAACCCTGTTTAATGGAGTGACAACTCCATTCTTTCCAAAGTAGCTTACTCCAATCTTTATACTAATTAAACAGGTTATTCTGCATAATGCAAAGAGTTCTCTATTGAGAACTAGTAGCTAAGTTTCTAACCTTATCTTACTCTGGAAACTAGTACAGTGGTGAACTACTGCTTATGGAATCCAAAACACATTGAGATCATTCCAAGCTCTGGTACTGGATAGTTATGAGGCCTTGGGTAAGTCACCTATCTTTTCAAAGCCCAAGTTACCCTTTCTGTAAAACTTAGTAAGTACCTACCCCACAGACTTGTTAAAAGGTGTGCAATTTCAGAGATACTAGCCATTAATGGTACTATTAATAATTTTACCAACCCAGGACAAAATTGCTTAGCTAAGTTCCCTCATCTATAAAATGAGGGAGCAGAAAGTTATTCTTAAGTCTTCCAGATCCATCCTATGAGATCATAAACATTAAGTAAGCTTGTTTCTAGCTTTTCCCATCCATCCTCATTGGACCACAAACTCTGATCTGGAGGACGGAGATGGGCTTCTTGTGCATCCCTGAACCCTTTGAAATTGAGTGCAATTGCATGTGAGTACCATTTAGGGTAAGAAGACATAGCTTCTCTTTGAGAATCCATAAGCTCAAAGAGATTTAAAACCACTCCCTTTGGGACTAAACAAATCAAATCTATTTCACTTTTCACATGATAGAACATAATCCATGTAAAGATCTAAATCTTTCCCAGTTTAGGTATCCCAAGCTTCTTCAACAATTTTTTCGTATTATTTGGTCTCTTTTCTGAAAGATCATATATAGTTGATATTTTTCTTGATATACAGTTCCAAGATGACTACAGGATTCTTGGCGTGATACATCCAATTCAGCAGATGCTGTAGAGCCACTACTCCTTCAGACCTCAACAGATTTGGACAGTTAGACTGACCTATGCAACTCTTACTGACTTAAGTCTTTTTCACTTGGGTTGCTGTTAAACTCACACACCTCACAATTCTATTTGTGTAGCTGTCCTTTTGAACATAAATGCAGTTTGTATTTACCCTTGATAAATTGCATCTTGTGAGAATTAGTTCAACTCCCCAGTGTGTTAAAAGTTAAATCATAGCTAAAAAAGTGATACCACAATTAACCTCAATAATAGATAATAAATAAAATACACATGAATATATTCTATAATAAATGCTAAGTAGAAAAAATATCACCACCTATCTTAACACATACTTGATCAACAACTTAGGCTGATCTCATAAACTACAATATTAAAAACAGTTTATAAATCCCCTGAAGTTGAAGTCAATTTTTAGGCCATAGCACACACACAAATGAACCCCAAGAACTTAGCTATAATTTTTCGTAAATGCAGCTCCCATGACACGTCTCTATAGACAGCAGCAGCACAGAGAACGCAAGGTAACAGTACGTGAAGAAGTAATTAGTTCCCTTCTCTCTCCACCACTGCTGGTATGACGACTAACTGCCTGACTTTCCCATGCTGCTGTGATCTCTTTGTCATAGGAGATAATAATAAAATAGTTAAAAGTAAGGAATTATAAGACATAATTTTTAAAGCTTACCCATTTCAATAGTTCTGCTGTACTACAAAGAGCTTTTAAGAAATACCTTACCCTGTGATCCTAAACTGTCTTTTTAAGCTTCCCATTGATGACAGCACAGATAAATGAAGGTTCCTAAGGGAGACTGCTTTGCTCCTTTTAAATTGGAATTGATAACTTACAGTGTACACTTACCATCTACTATAGACATATTTCTAGATGTTGACACAGTAGCCTTTGAACTCCTGCTACGAGTAGTAGTTATCTCCAGACGAGTGCCTGCTGTTAAAATAATGAGCAGTCAATATATAATCCTATCAGTAGTTATGTTTTTTTGTTTTTTAAACACAATACCAAAATAAAAGCTAATTAAGTTTGTAAAAGCCTGAAGACGCATATAGAAAGAAACATATAAAGTCCAACTAATCAATTCTCAGAACCAATTTTTTTTTTTTTTTGAGACAGATTCATTCCTGGGTAGTATGCTATGACATCATCATAGCTCAAAGCAACCTCAAATTCTTGGGTTCAAGCTATCTTCTTGCCTCAGCCTCCCTAGCAGCTGGGACTACAGGTGCCAGCCACAACACCTGGCTAGTTTTTCTGTTTTTAGTACAGACGGGATATCACTCTTGCTCAGGCTGATCTCAAACTCCTGAGCTCAAGTAATCCAACCTGTGTTGGCCTCCCAGAGTGCTAGGATTACAGGTGTGAGTCACCATGTCCAGCCTCAGAAACTGTTCTTTTGGACCACATTTGGTTCACATTTGTCCAATTAAAATTTAAGGAAAACTTATGTAAATGTAAGGATAATAAAAATCATCATTAGAAGATGGGAATTTCTCTTCCTGGAAATTTTAAACTACATTAGTATTCATTTTACCAATTTAAATTCCTGTGGATAAATATTTAATGAAAATGATTTTAAAACATCCCTAGAGATGGATTTATATAATACATCAGTGAGTTACTAGATGACCACTTTCTGTTTGTTTGAACCATTCAGTGACAACAGTGTTACATTAATACAATGATGACAATTTAATTATATGGGAGTAGTTTTTCCTTCTAAACAAATTTTATGAAGTCCACTTTGGCATTTGTATCTTACGACAGCAAAAAAAATACTTTTTTTGGCTCTGGAGTTTCCTTCCTGTTGCCAATGGTCATTAGCTGGCCGTTTTCCTTAACAACTCATACTTGCCTATTACCTTGATGTGTGAACATAAGACATTAAATGTACTCATAAGGTACTGTATGAAACACAGTGAAACTTTTAAAAAATATGTGTTAAGAACAATTAAAACCCCATGGGCATGTGGCCATTCACTGAAGTAAAAGGTACATGTCAGAACTGCTTTAAAGGCTATCTTCATGCATTATGAAAATAGGTATTTTTTAAATTACATTTTAGAAATAAAAACTCATAACTCAATTCTGACAAGATAAAATTCTCTATTTCCCACTCAGCTGGCAAGACTGAACATGTGGTGAAGACTGTACTCAGTGCTAACCTCTTCCTCTTTGAGACCTTCCTCTCGATGCTGAGTTCTGCCCTCTTCCTCCTCGTTGGCCTCTTCCTCGGCCTCTTCCTTTGGTGGTTGCTGCTGAGATGCTATCATCAGAGTCATCGGCCATCTGCTCTGCTAAATCTATACTCATAAGGTCATCGGCACTAAAGGCAGAAGCAGAGTCCTCTGACTGAGACCTGAGAGCTCTGGCCCTATTCATAGCCTGAGAGGGACGATAAGGAGAAAGCACACGTAAGTAGATAGTGCAGTAGCCTACAAATCATTAACGTGGCCCTTCAGATAAACACTTGACACTGTCAAACTGTCTACATTATATTTTTCACCAATCATGCTATAAAAATATAAAGAACTTCCCCACCAAATTTAATGCTTTTTGATGCTTCTTATCTGTTAGATCAATTTATTAATAAAATGCTACCTGTAAAACACACTTTTTGAAAAGGTATACCAGGAAAAATATCACAGACTCAAAACTTGCAGAACTGAAATATTAATAATCACCCCTAATTCAGAAGATCATTTATAAGGGACTGTCATCATTTGAGCTACTTTTTAGAATAAGCTCTTAATAAGAAGAAAAAAACATAAAAACTAGCTGTTATCGCTGAGAGGTAACATTTTAGGGTGCTTTTCTTGTCTTTTTTATTTCTGAATATTTTACTTTTGCTAAAATACTACTTTTGTAATGAGGAAAAGACGGAACAGTAATCTCTCATAAATGCAGTAGAATCTCCATAGTTGACCATCTCCCTACACTGACCACTTCCATAAGTTGACCAGCATGTCACAGTCCTTTGGGTGGTCAACTTACAGAAGTTCTACTATATATGATAAAAATTAAGTAAAATACAGCAACTGAAAGCCTAAGAATAAAAATCTTAAGACCAAGAAAATGTCACATATTTTTAATTTGATAAGAAATGACAAGTTTGAGACTTCACCAAATATTCTAACTCCAGAATGAATACAGATTTTCTGATTAAAAATAATAGCAATTCTGCTCTTCTCTTCCCTTCAACTAATGTAACAAGAATAAAAACAAAATGCCAACATATTTTCAAAAATATTAGAAAATAGCTCAAATTACAATCACACAACCTATGAGGAAGAATTAATGAGTATAATGAATTTTTTTTTTTTTTTTTTTTTGCGACAGAGTTTCACTCTGTCGCCCTGGGTAGAGTACCATGGCATCATAGCTCATGGCAACCTCAAACTCTTGGGCTCAAGCAACCTTCTTGCCCCAGCCTCCCAAGTAGCTGGGACCTACAGGCTCCTGCCACAACACCCAGCTAGTTTTTCTTTTTTTTTTAGTAGAGACAGGGTCTTGACCAGGCTAGCCTCAAACTCCTGAGCTCAAGTTACCCACCCATCTAGGCCTCCCAGACTACTAGGATTATAGGTGTGAGCCACCACACCTGGTCTGTAATGAATATTTAACCTAGCTTAGGAGAAAGTTAAGGATTTCAAGCATTGTAGAGTACTCAAAATTGGTGTGTATATCCCAAGAGGCCATGACCACAGTCTTTCTTGCTTGGGATGGCAAGTTTTGGGAATAAGAATAAATGACCACAGCATTTTTAAGCTCTGTGATACCATAAAGGAGAAAGATAACTGAAGGAGCAGATAAGCAAGTCAGGCAAGATGGGCACAGGAGTGAAGTGAGGGGTCAGGGGTAGGAGGTTATGTAACTTCAAGATGATCTCAGTTGAGGTGAAATAACAAATTACTGCATAAAGGGCTTGACATGGCCTTTTCTATATTCAGGGAATATAGCAAAAAATAAAAAGAGACAACAGTAGGAAAAGACTTCAATTCATCTTTCCTGTCCAAAAGGAAGAACAGGCCCTCATTATTCATAAATTCCACATTTACAAATTCATCTAATTACCAGAATTCATTTGTAACTCAATACTTGTGATACTTCTATGGTCTTTCTCACATATATCGTGTGCTGCCTGACACACACTTCCCAGGGAAGGTTAAAGAATGAGCCACTCTGCCTTGTTTTAGCTCCTGTACTGTAGACAAGTGTCCCTGCTGTGAAATAGTCATGTGTCGCTTAACGACAGGAATATGTTCTGAGAAATGTGTCATTAGGTGATTTTGTCCCTGTGAAATATCTTAGCATGTACTTAACAAACCTAGATGGTATAGCCGACTACATTCCAAGGCTAAGTGGCATGGCCTATTGCTTCTAGGCTACAAGCTGGACAGCATATTGCTGTAGGCAACTGGAACACAATGGTATTTGCATATCTAAACAGAAAACATACAATAAAAATACAGTATTATCATCTTACAAGCATTGTTTTCCCTTTTGCTTATTAATTTGGTGTTTAAAATGGTCCTCCAACGTAGTTCTGGAATGCTGTTTAGTGATCCTAGGCATAAAGCTGTGATATGCCATATGGACAAAATTTAGGATAGATAAGCTTCATTCAAGGGTGAGTTATACTGACAAAATGTTATAACCAGTGGCCCATTAGAACCTAAGGACTAGAAGTAACTTTAGAGACACATCTGCTGAGAATAACAAAAAGCACCTGTCCATTCTTAAAAGCAGACCTTTAACAGGTGACCTAAATTACATAATTAATAGATCTAATGGATATATGTTGAATTCTGTAGTCTGAAAATAAATAATACTAGGGGCGCCAAAAAAATGTGTAAAATTGACCATTCCCAAAGTGTACGCAATGCCAGTAAAATTAATACATGTAGCATATAGATATACTTAACCAGTAACAGCACCTTTAGTATACCTTTGAAAAGTAATACATAGATAACAGCACTTAAAAGGTTCTTCTTAGTAAAGCATCATAAGAATGGAAAAGCAAGAATCCAATGTACTCAATTCTGATATGAGGACAACTGATACTAGTACATGGTACGGGATGGGAGAATGGGGGAGTGAAGAGAGGAAAGGAGGGAGGGGGTTGGGGGGTCAGGTGGGTGACATACCTCTTGGGGGCAGGACACAATTATAAGAGGTACTTTACCTAACAATGCAAGCATAACCTGGTTCTTTGTACTCTCAATGATTCCCCAACAATAGAAAAAAATAAAACAAAATGTGTGTACATTTTTGGAGCTCTCTCTTTGTACTACTTTTTAAGACCCTATGAAACTTCTCAATTGATGTATAATAGGATACAAAGGAAAATCTTAATAAATGCTAGAAATAGAATTATTATACTGTCTAATCAGCATGCAATGAGATGTTAAGAATAATAAAGCAAAAATCTTGCCTCCTGAAAGTTAACTAGAATCAAACTATAAAACAAAACTAAAATAGTAGAATAGCTACAAAATAAAAAAAAAAAAATTATATATGACATCATATGAGAGAGCTAAAGTAGTGCTTTTAAGAAAGCCCACAGCTTGCTAAATAAGAACGAATATAAAAAAGTTAACTCCATTTTCAAAAAGTTAGGAAAAATAAAAGTCTATCAAAGGAAAGCACCACATATTAAAAAGAATAAAAACTATAATATTAACAAATTTTAAACAAAACACCTTTAAATTAATAAATGTAACAACTGGTCCTGTGGGACAAAGCAACATTGATAAAAATCACTGACAAGCTTAACAAAAAGGAATAAAACACAACTATACATTATTAAAAATAAGAATGGGGGATGAGATCCATGGAAAATCAAGACTTATGACAGAATGTTCAATTTTATTTAATGTGGAAAATAAATAAGCCAATCTAAGTGGGTGGGGGAACGAAATGTTCTCAACAGAACAATTATCAAAGAAAAATTTAAGAAATCGTTAGAAGAAACATATCCCCCAAAAGGACCAAAACCAGAACGTTTCATAAGTAAATTCTGCCAAACTTTCAAAAATCAGATAATCCTACTGCTATTTCAATAGTGCCAGAACATAAAGAAAAAAAGCTATTTTTACAATGCTATTATGACATGGTACTGACAAAGAATTGCATGCCCAAAAAGAAAATTACAGTATCTTATTTATGAATACAAAAGTAAACAAAGCGAATTCTGGAACATAGAGAAAGACCCATGCATCAATTACTAGAGAGTTTAGGTGTTACAAGGATGGGTCAATAATAGGATATGTATTGGGGGCCAGATGTGGTAACTCACACCTATAATCCTAGCACTCTGGGAGGGTAAGGCAGGTGGATTGCTTGAGCTCAGGAGTTTGAGACCAGCCTGAGCAAGAGCAAAACCCCATTTCTTAAAAATAACTAGCTGGGCATTGTGGCAGGCATCTGTAGTCCCAGCCACTTGGGAAGAGGCAAGAGGATCTCTTCAGCCCAAGAATTTGATATTGCTGTGGCAATAATGCCACAACACTCTAGGGAGGGCAACAAAGGGAGACTCTGTCTTAAAAAAAAAGGATATTAAAATATAATGAATTATACTAATAGAAGGGAAAAAAAACAAATATGTATCTCTATGTATGCCAAAAAGGGATGTAACTCACCAGCCATTCCAGATTTAAACAAGTAAGCCTCAGGAAAAAGTAGACACCTTAGGCAAAACCCTAAATATGCTGTATTATTTTGTGTACGTACACACGGAGACACAGAACACATAACTGTGCTCAAGGAAGCACTCTTACAAACCACTGGAGAAAGACCAATGCCCTACCCAAAAAAGAAAATTCGGGCAAAGAAAACCCACCTGTTTCATATGACTATACAGAATCTATAAACACAAAAATTCCTCAGACTCAATAGTAAAAAAAGAAGTATGAATTAAAAATAACAGTAGTTAATGGTTTTTTATCCCTTAAATTTGTAAAGCTCAAAAAGGTAAGCCATCAAAATGGCAAGGATGTAGGGAAATAAGCACTCCCAAATACCACTGGTTGGCATGTAAACTGTGTGATGGTTTATAGATGTAGCAAATTTAAAATAAATATACTCTATTAATTTCTTGGAATGAATTACCAACAATCACCTCTAAATTTTGTATTTTTCCTTTTACCTAAATACTGTTATCTCCATTTTTTTCATCTCAAACACTACTCTCAAATCTTATTTTAACTCTACCTTTTGCCAGTGAAAGACTTTGGAGTTCATTGTTATCTTTGAAGTATATCACTTCTAAGGCTTTACCTCATGACTGCAGATCTACAGCCAATGACAAAGATGTTTCCATACACTTGGGAGACCTGAAATCATACTATCCTGTATTACTGTCTTTTAATTGTGCTGAAATATACATGACATAAATTTTACTCTTTTAAACATTTCAAATGTAGTACAAAGGCAGTCAGTACACTCACATGGGTATGCAGCCATCACCAGCATCCATCTCTACAACTTTCTCCTCATCCCATACTGAAACTCCATATCCATTCAACAGTAACTTGTCACTCCTCCCTCCCCCAGGCACTTCTCTATGAATCTGACTACTCCAGGTTATCTCATATAAGTGGAATCATACAGTAGTTGGCCTTTTGCATCTGGCTTTTTTCACTTGGCATAACATTTTCAAGTTTCATCCACATTGTAGCATGCAAGATAATTTCTTTCCTTTTTAAGACCGAGTAACATTCCACGGCACGTATATACCACATTTTGTTTATCCATTCATCTGCTGATAGACATTTGGGTGTTTCTCTCCTTTGAGTGTTGTGTACCATGCTGCTATAAACACTGGTATGCAAATATCTGTAAGTCCCTGCTTTAAATTCTCTTGGTTCTATATCTAGAAGTAAAATTGTTAAGATACAGGTAATACTATGTTTAATTTTTTGAGGAATTGCCATACTGTTTTTCACAGCAGCTGTCTCATTTTTCATTCCTACCAGCAATCCACAAGGGTTCCAATTTCTCCACATTGTTGTCAAAACTTACATTCTTTTTTTCTCCAATAATAAACATCCTTCTGGGTATGAGGTGATATATTATTGTGATTTGTATTTCTCTAATGATTGGTGATGCTGAGTATCTTTTCATGGGCTTATGGATCATTTGTAAATCTCTTTGTAGACATGTCTATTTTAAGTCTTTTGCCCATTTTTTAATTTTAAGTATTTATTTTTGAAACAGAGTCTTACTCTGTCACCTTGGATAGAGTGTCGTGGCATCAAAACTCATAGCAACTTCAAACCCTTGGGCTCAAGCAATCCTCTTGCCTCAACCTCCCAAGTAGCTGAGACTACAGGCACCTACCACAATGTCCAGCTAGTTTTTTTTTATTTTTTAGTTGAGACAGGGTCTCCTTCTTACTTAGGCTGGTCTGGAACTCCTGAACTCAGGAGATCCTCCAGCCTCGGCATTCCAGAGTGCTAGGATTACAGTTGTGAGCCAAAAAAAGCACTTGGCCTTTTGCCTATTAAATTGAACTTTCATTGTTGTTGCTACTGTTGAGTTTTATAAGTTTTTAAAATATATTCTAGATATGAAACCCTTATCAGATATGATTTGTAATTATCATTTCCCATTCTGTGGGTTACCTTTCACTCTGTTGATAGTACCTGGTATTACATTTTGAAAGAAGATAACCACCTGCCTCAAACTCAAATAGATTATAAGAAATTAGAATCCAAGTAAACTAAGTACTATGGGTCAGAGTTAGAATAGTTTTTACATTTTTCAAGGGCTGTTAAAAAAAACAAAACCATGAATATGTAATAGACACCATATATGGCCTGCAGAGCCTAATATTTACTGTTTGGCCAATTACTTAAATGTGAACTTCTAATTTAAAAAGAGATTTGGGAGATTTTTCAAATGAACAAGAGACTTTAAAGCATAACATTTTTTCTCTAAATACCATAAAGCATAACTTTATGTTATGCTTTAAAGTTATTAAAGTTTTTCTCTTATTTGCTGAAATACTTTACTTATGGTACTGTGATTCATATTCTAAGCTAAATGATACTCAAAGCCATGAATTATATTTTAGCAAAATGTCAAACTCCATTGTCTATGCTCTGAGTGGTAAGCTGATAATGAAAATATATGTGCCATCCTATGGCTTGCTAAAAAATTACTTAGGAAACTCTGATTACCTGAAAAAGCCTTAAAACACAGCTGAGAGTCTAAACTCATACTTCTTCCCTGTATAAAATGTTCATCCTTTCTCTTTTAAAAGATTAATGAAAACTGAAATTAGTGGTTTCAAATACAAAGGACCCATTCAAACATAAGTATTTCTGTAATCTGTTAAATTGAAAGGGTTAATCGAGGTCAAGCGGGATAATCTAAGAACCAGGAATCATTTTCTCTTAGCATTCATTCTTGTTCTTTGCTGAACTATCTTTTCTATTTTAAGGGCACACCTTATAATGAATGACTATAAATACAAAAAATGTGATAAGGAGTTTCCTAATGTATACCTTTTCCCCTTTACCTTATGAAAACCACCTGTAAAAGGCATCGCAGTTCTATCTTGCATATGATCAACAGTAGTTTTGATGTGTGACCTGATAGTTTTAGAAGTTTTTCATTTTTAGCCATTCGTTGGCCATGCATTGAATTAATATTATTATAATCTAAAATACTGATAGGACAGAGGATGGTGGAAAAATTTAGACTTGGAGGCAGAAGCAGTTGGGTTCAAATTCCAGCTCCATCACAATGTGACCCTGAGTTTAGTTTCAGTCTTCTCATTTATAAAATGGAAACTAAGATAGTATAAGTCAGGTGCCTAGTAATAATTAAAGATTTTCCTCACATGTCTCTTACCGACTAAGCTGAGAAAATCTTGTAGACACAATGGGGTTAGAACTCATAGCTTCAAGGCCACACGGGGTCCTCGGATCCCCCAAGTGAGGCCCCTCCACCAAATCTAAACTGTTCTGTAAAATTTGGATTAAGTCAAAAGGCCACATTCAGCAATCCAGAAGGCTCCATGTAGCCCCCTGGCCTTAGATTCTCTGTCCAATTTTTAAATACTAAATAGCAATCATAAAACACAAGGACAATTAGAAAATTTAAGAAAATAGATTTCAATTGTGAATTCACCAAGTATCAGATAAGAGGCCCAAAATTCAAGTAAATGGTTGCTAACTTATAGTTTATAACCTGAGATGATGGTGATGATGGTGCTTGAGTCAACTGTAACAGTTTAGAACTAGCAATGGAATAATCTTTAATTATTTTAATTATTTACCTCTGGTAACACTGCTAACCAAAACACTAAGTTTCTTTTTTGCCCAAAATATATCAGTTCAATAGAGTAAGATTTTATCTTATACCTTTAAGATGCTCTGATAGCAATTGGGTATTACTTTGATTAATAAGTGCTCTTGTTGTATATGCCCCCTCCCACACACATACAACAAAGTAAGTTACGTTTTAGACAGGAGCAAAAAGAAGAAGAAAGCAACATCAGTGGGCAGAATATTTGTAGGCTGAACTGAAATCAATCAAAAGGCGGCTATCCTTACCCAACACCTGCTCACTCCTATCCATCATGGACTCCACTGGCCTACTGGACTATTCTAAATATACCTACTAGTTATTTTAACAAACTGAATATAAGCATAGGAATTTACAACAGAAAAATTACCTCTCGAACTTCATCATCTTCTTCGTTAGTATTTTTTTGTCTGCTTTCTCTGAAACGACGTACCTAGATTATAGTAAGAGTCATCACAAACATGTTCATGTTGCTTATTCCAGTTGTGTAAAAATAAGGTAATGGGCTACAAATGATTAAGAAATACTTTACACTGTAACATAAAACTTGGAAATTTAATAATTTTCCTGACAAAAGACTGATTAAAGAAATCACATCTTTCTAGTTACTCACATTAAAATTTCAGAAATGGGCCAGGTGCAGTGGCTCACACCTGTAATCCTACCACTCTGGGAGGCCAAGGTGGACAACTGGCTGAGCTCACAGGTTTTAGACCAGTCTGAGCCAGAGCAACAACTATGGCGGGCGCCTGTAGTCTCAGCTACTTGGGAGGCTGAGGCAAGACAATCACTTGAGCCCAAGAGTTTGAGGTTGCTGTGAGCTAGGGCAACAAAGTGAGACTGTCTCAAAAAAAAAAAAAAAAAAAAAAGTCAGAAATGTACTCTTTAAAAAATATATTGGCCCAAAGCAAAATTATATCACCTGCTGCCAAAATGTTACATGTCACTGAAAAACAGTCTGTCAGACTATAGAGGAAAAAAGTTCTAATATCCCATGGTATTATACTTCAGCAAAATAGTTATAAATCTCTCCTTGATGAGGCCTGAATCTTTATTACATTGCTCAATCACTCTTGTATATTTGGCTGCAAGACATCCAGGAGGCTTCCTAACATAGTTATCTTAAGTGGGTGGGACCTTGGTGTATTTAGGAAATAAGAAGGGGTTGTTGTAACTGGATCAGATATACAGGTAAAGAAATAACAGAAACCCAGATGGAGTAAGGCCTTGTGAGCAACTGTCAAGACTTTTTTGTAGGCAGGAATGACTAGATCTAAAATATGTGAGAATTCAGTTGGCTGACTTGAGAACAGAATTGGCAGTGGCGGCGGGGCGGTGGTGGGGGGAGACTGGGAGAGTGTACGGGGAAGAAGGGTAAAGGTGGAAGCAGAGAGACCACCTTTACCCTGAACGATCCAGTGAGAAACAATGACACCCTCACCAACGGCAGTGATGAAGGTAGCATGAGCCAGTCAGATAGCGCGTACTCATACATCTAACGGCAAAGATAAAAAGGACACTCAGCCTATAGGTGACAGAAAGAAAGGATGATTTCAAAATCTTGGCCTGAGCAACTGAAAAAATGGTGCTTCCACTATCACACTACAGGAGAGCAGGTCTGAGAGCAGGGGGTGAGGATCAGCAATTCAGAGTAGGACTATTAGAAGTTTGAGGCATCTCTTAAGTACCCAAATGGGAATGCCTAGCAGGCTGTTGGCAACAGAAGTCTTAGTTACAGGAGGAATTAGGGCTAGACTTTTGAAAGTCATCAACAGATGGTATTAAAACCCAGGAAGCTAGGTGAGATCACAAAGGGTATGTATAGATGAAAAGAGACCCAAGGACTTAGTTCTGGGCACCCCAATTAAAGAGGCTGGAGACATGAGTGGATTCAGCAGTAGAGACTGAGAATATGCAACCAGTGAGGTCGGAATAAAACCAGAAAAGAATACTGTCTGGAAAGTCAATGAAAAATGTCTCACAAGAGGTCAAGTGACATTTAAGATTGCAAACTGACAGCAGATTCAGCAACGGAGGTCACTGGTGACCTTGACACAAGCAGCTTCGCTGGAACAATGGTGTCAAAAGCCTGAATGAATGGGTTTAAGAGAAAAAGGAAGGAGCAGAACATATAAAAACTCTTTGAAGCCATAAAAAGAGGAACAAAGAAACACAGTAGTAGCTAAAGGGAAATGGGATCGAGAGTTTTGTTTTTTAAGCTAAAAAGAAACACTAGCATGTTTGTTATGATTCAATAGAGGAGGGAAAATACAGGAAAAATACTTTTTTTTCTGAGACAGATTCTCACTCTGTTCACCCTGAGTAGAGTACCATGGTGTCATCTTAGCTCACAGCAACCTCAAACTCTTGAGCTCAAGGGATCCTCCTGCTTCAGCCTCCTCAGTAGCTGGGACTACAGACATGAACCACCAAATCTGGCTAGTTTTTCTTTCTTCTTTTATTTTTTGTAGAGACCTGGGTCTTGCTCTTGCTTAGGCTGGTCTTAAACTCCAGAGCTCAAGCAATCTTACCTGCCTCAGCTCCCAGAGTGCTAGGATTAAAGGCGTGAACTACAAAGCCCAGCCGGGAATAATACTTTAATCCTGAAGAAGGTTCTATTATTATCTTCATTTTATAGATAAGGAAATTGAGGTACAAAGAGGCTAGATCACTGATGGGTAATAAGGGTTCTGATTATGAACACAGGCAGTCTAGTTCAGGTCTCACACCCTCAGCCCTATTAACCAGCACACTACACACACACAGATTCTCACACTTTCTTTCTCTCTGTGGCCCAGGAGCTGTGATGTCATTCCAGGTAGGGATGGTCACGTTTAACTTGTGATACCTGAGAATCCATCTATGCTAAAAATTACCAAACACAATACATCCAGATTACCTGTCCTCACTCTGGAAGTAGCTGACTGGCACTGAATAACACTAAGATACACATTGACACCATAAGGTTTTAAGGAAACCATGTTCATTAAAAGCACTAAAATGAAAGCCAAAGGGAATGAGCTCTTAAAACAATGTTTTGTTCTTCTGTTTGGGGAAATGTGGAAAATATAGAAAGTGATACCCCATGATCCAACTACTTAGACACAACTACTGATAAAATGGTTAGAATATTTTCTTTCATTCTTTGTATGTACACACACACTCACATAAAAGATTAAAACTGAATTGTATTATCCATAGTTTTGCATCCTTGGAATTCTATTCCAACTTGACATAATAATGGTGGCATAGAATTCTATACTACATACATGCCACCATTTACTGTATCAAAACATATCCAATTATTCCCTACTGTGGATAATCCTAATATGAATCAATCCATACACAAATTTTTATTTTTGGAGGAAAATTTCCAGGGCTGAGTTTAAGGATAAATCTTAAATCTGTTGATACAAATTGCCAAACTACTTTCAGTAAAGTTATTCAAACATAATACTTGCATCAAAAGTACACCATATGTACTATTTTTCTCAAATCACTAATCAAATATAATATTGTATTAGCAGTATACTAGATACTATTTTTCTCAAATTGCTTCCCAATTTGACAAATAAAAAATATATTTTAGTTTGATTATCCTAGGCTAAACAACACTTTCATAAGCTTATTAGCCATTTATATTTCTTTTGTGAACCACCTATTCATGTCCTTTGTTCCTTATTCTATTAAAATGTTTAATTTTTTTAACATTTATAAAAGCTCTGCCCATACACAAATATTTCCCCCATACCAACACTTTTAAATTTGTTTTTCTACAACTTGATGTGTAAAGATTTAAAACTTCTATGTAGCCAAATCTAAACAGCTTTTCATGTGTAATTCTTTCACTGCTTTTATGCTTAAATAAAATTTCTAGATAAAATTCAAAATCTCAATCAAAACTTACTAAAAACTGGAGATAAACAGGAATTTTCATCCTATGAGTTAATTTAAAAGCACTTTAGGGATCTTCAAGAGAAGATACTTACTACCTATGGCAGGTGTCCTCAAACTACGGCCCAGGGCCACATGCGGCCCGCCAAGGACATTTATCTGGCCCACCAGGTGTTTTTGCCACCACTGCCTGTCCTGCTTAGCAGCCGACTCGTCCCAGGGCCCATAGTCTGGTCCTCCAACGGTCTGAGGGACAGTGAACTGGCCCCCTGTTTAAAAAGTTTAGGACCCCTGATCTATGGGGAATCCCAGTAACATCTATTCAGTACAATCACATGTATAAGACTCCATTCTAGGCACTTTCTAGACATTTTCCAATTTAATCTTCATTTTATTATCTCACTTTTATAGATGAGGAAACTAAACAAATTGGAGAGGTTAAATACTGACTTATCTGAAAAAAAAACTCAGAGCTACTCCTAAAGACAGATGGTCTAAACAGACCATCTAAATTAGTTACTCACTTCTTCATCAATTTTATCTTCTAGAGCATCAATGTGACGTTCCTTTAGAAATCGCTGTGTTTTTTCCAACTGGTATTTCACTAATTCCTCGATGGCATCTTTTTCCTCCTTGTCCACAAATTCTTGTACTGCTTCACCCATTCCTCTTTCTGTTAACAGTGAGAGCTGTACATTCTGTAAGGCAGATATAAATCACTAGATACAGAAATGGCATCTATTTCTTGCAAAATAATCATATACGAGCAAGGAAAATTACAGAATAATGTTATCAGAGAAAAATACAAAAGTTATCTAGTTATTAAAGGAAAAGGAAAAAAAAACAACCCCCAAAACAGTGAACAGTAATTAAGCCTACTGGTAAGCATTAAGGACCTGAAAAAACAAAGTCAACACCAGAAAAGGGAGGGGAGTATAGGACAGGTGAAATTGTAGAGGTCTCAGTGGCTGGAATACAGAGTCCAGAAACGGCAGGTAATGATTAATCTTAGAGATCAGGTTAACCAGTGTGGAAGGCAGAATAATGCCCACTAAAGATGTCTACACCTTAATCTCTGGGACCTGTGAATATGGGACTTGCGAAGACATGACAAAAGGGAAATAAAGCCATCTGTAAAATACAGAGATTAGCAGAGAGTATCCAGGTGGGGCCAGTGTAATCACAGGGTCCTGAAAAATGGAAAAGAGAGATAGAAAGGAATCAGAGGGAGATATAACTGTGCGAAAATGGTCACAGAGACACACCATTGCTAGATTTGAAGATAAAAGTGGGAATCCAAGAGCCAAGAAATGTAGGCACCTCTAGAAGCTAGAAAAGGGAAGGAACTGGACTTTCCCTTGGAGACGCCATAAAGGAACACAGAATGTCCAGTGAGACGTGTCTAGATGTGTAAGATTTCTACATACATACTTGACGATAATACATTTGTGTTGTTTTAAACCACTACGTTTGTGGAAATTCGTTTCAGCAGCTAACACAACCAGAAGATCTCAGAGTGGCATATATACAAGATAGTAAGTTTGAGTGGTTTCACCCTATGTCTTTATAAAGTAATTCTGAAATTACATCCAAATTTGAGAAAAGTAGATACTGGACTTTTACAGTAGAGATAAAAAAATAGAGCAAGAATAACACCATCAACATAATAGTGATATTATAATGATATTAATAACATTAATTAAGCATGAATTTTTCTAGATGTTTAACAACCACAAATACATGTAATTAGCAGTCACCCTACTTCCTTCACAGAAACATTCTGAGGATTCATTTTGTTTACAGTATCAGTTAAATATATTTTAAATTAAGAAATGTTTAAGAAAGCCATGTTCAAGGCTCAGCGCCCATAGCTCAGTGGGTAGGGCACCAGCCACATACACTGAGGTTGGTGGGTTTGAACCCGGCCCAGGCCTGCTAAACAACAATGACAACTGCAACCATACCAACAACAAAATAGCCAGGCATTGTGGCCAGCACCTATAGTCCCAGCTACTTGGGAGGCTGAAGCAAGAGAATCGCTTAAGCCCAAGAGTTTGAGGTTGCTGTGAGCTGTGACGCCAAGGCACTCTACTGAAGGCAACATAATGAGACTCTGTCTCAAAAAAAAAAAAAAAAGAAAGAAAGCAAGCCATGTTCAAGTAAGAAATTACCTTCTCTGCAGTTTGAAAATACTGTTTTACAAGGTCTTCTACCCTTAGAGTTGTTCCTTCTGAAGGTGGTTTTGTGATAAGCTTCCCAAAGTTGATCTCTTCTTCTAGCAAAAAAGAAATCCATCAAAAAATAGTGGTTTCTGTTATAATGTTAAAGTGGCCAAACTTATTATAGGTTGTCAGCAGAGAAGGTCAAATTTCATCGATACTCAGTTTACTCAACATGGTAAACTGAGGCAAAACCAACCATTTCTGCTGACAGCCACTCTTCTTCCCACTCCCAGTCAGTATTCCTTTTCCAAATCTCCTGCAGCTGCTGGCACCAGGTGGACCACAGACCCCTGGAGGTCCCTTTTAGGATGCACATAGCCAAAACTACTTTCAAAATCATCCTAAGATGCTTTCAGCCTTCTCACTGTCTGTACATTTGTACTGATAATACAAAGCAATCATCATGGGTAAAGCTGTTAGTGCCTTGGGATGAGACAGAGCAGTGGCATAAAACTCTACTAGGAGTCACCACTAAGTACTCACAATTCAAAACGTAAGGAGCCAGTTTAATTTAAGAATGTCCCCGATCTAACAGTTAAAATTATTAATGTAATTAAATCTCAACCCTCAAGTACATATCTTTTTAACATTCTGTAAGACAAATGGGAAGAACACCGAAAGCACTTCTACTGCATTCCTAAAAAAGACAATTGTCTCAAAAATACTTGGTGTAGACTGGAAAGAATTGCTAGGCAGAAAGTCAAAACACACAGGGTCCAGTATAGGCTCTGCCAAAACCCTTACCTGGTAAATGAATATTAAATGTCTGGCAGGCGTGGGATCTGGTGTTAAAAATACAACAATAAAGCCAGGCACAATAGTGCACAGCTATAGTCCCAGCTACTCAGGAGGTAGAGGCAAGAGGATCACCTGACCCTGGGAGTTCAAGATCAGCCTGAGCAACATAATGAGATCCATTCCCAAACACCTTACTGTCTCTTAAAACAAACAAACAAACAAACAAAAAAAAAAAAACATGAAAAAGACACATTCCCTACCCTCAAGAATAAATTATTACAATCCGAGGTTGTGAGTGCCATAGAGAACATGACATGTAGATAAGGACGCAATTATTCTTCTCAAAGAAGGCTGAAAATCATATGCAGGTATCAAAGGCAGTTTATCACCTGAATAAAAAAACTTCAGAACAAGTAAGTTTCACCAAGCAAAAAAGGGAGACAAACATTTCAGGCAGAGAAAAAGTATATACAACAGCCTAGAAAGGAAAGAGGCACAGAGTTTCATGCTTCTTTTGCCAGGTGGCGACGACAAGTAAACAACGATCTTTCTTCATGAACACGATTGCTATATTTTACCACGCCAGACGCTAGTTAAAAGCAGTTACCCACAGTCTATCATCTAATCCTCACAATAATTCCATCAGGCCAACCACGGTTATTATCCTGATTTTGTAGATGAAAAACTGCAGCAGTTTAGTAATTGGCACAATGTCATGCATGCTGCCAAGGGGCAAAGCTGGCCAAGATACAAAACACTTTCAATAATACATACAGAAGTGCCATTGTTTCCAATGAGCAATTTTGCTTTAAACAAATTAAAACAACTCACTAAACAAAACTCAGTATGAATGAAACTCAAAAAAGGTAAGGTACTAATTATATAGTCTGTTTTCTTATGAATGCTACTCCCATAACATTCAAGGAACCGATAAAGATGTGCAATTAAAGTAAACCATTGTCAAGAAGCAACTCCTTAAAATTCATAATATAAAAATACAATTCTCTATTGGCTGGCAACTTGTAGAAGACTGAAACTGGACCCACAACCTTTCACCTCTAACAAAAATTGACTCTCACTAAAGACTTAAACCTAAGACATGAAACCATAAAGACTCTTGGACAGAGTGCAGGAGAAACACTTGAAGAAACTGGTCTGGGAGAAAACTTTATGAGGAGAACCCCCAGGGCAACTGACGCAATACCAAAAATACATTACTGGGATTGATCAAACTAAAAAGCTTCTGCACTGCCAAGAACACAGTAAGTAAAGCAAGTAGACAGCCCTCAGAATGAGAGAAGGTATTTGTAGGTTATGTTTCTGACAAAGGTCTGATAACCAGAATCCACAGAGAACTCAAAAAAAGAACAAGTGATCCCATTTCACTATGGGCCGGAGACCTGAACAGATGCTTCTCTGAAGAAGAGAGGCACATGGTACACAGCCACATGAAAAAATGCTTGTCTTCTTTAATCAGAGAAATGCAAATCAAAACCACTTTGAGATACCATCTAACTCCAGTCAGAGTAGCCCACATAACAAAATCCCAAAACTACAGATGTTGGCATGGATGTGGAGAAAAGGGAACACTTCTGCACTGTTGGTGGGAATACAAGCTAATATGTTCTCTTTGGAAAGAAGTCCAGAGAACACTCAGGGATCTAAAAATTGACCTGCTGTTGGATCCTGCAATTCCTCTACTAGGAGTATATCCAAAAGACCAAAAATCACTTTGAAAAAAAGATATTTGCACCAGATTATTCATCGCAGCTCAATTCGTAATAGCCAAGTCATAGAAGAAGCCCAAGTGCCCAGTGACCCATGAATGGATTAATAAATTGTGGTATACGTATACCATGGAATACTATGCAGCCTTTAAAAAGACTGAAGCCTTTACGTCGTTTATGTTCACATGGAGGGATCTGGCACATATTCTCCTGAGTAAAATGTCTCAAGAATGGAGGAAAAAGTATCCAATGTACTCAGTACTTCGATGAAACCTACTTATATTTACTCACACTTTCTTATGAAAGGAGAGAAATGGAGTGGGAAGGGAGGGGTATTACAGAGGGAGGGTAAAAGGCAGGACCACACCTATGGAGCATATGACAAGGTACAAGTCAAATCTGTCAAGTGTAGAACATAGATGTTTTGGCACAATAGTCAAGTAAATGAGGTGAAAGCTATGTTCATTGGTTTGGTCTAACCATGACAGATTATATTAAAAAAAAAATCAGCACATTGTACCCCACATATGCATGAATATATTCATGATCTATGTGTATGATGTCATGATCTATGACTTAATAAAAAATAAATAAAAATACAATTCTCTGATAAGGATCTTTTCCCCCTAAAACCGTATTATATGAGTTTCCCTTAAATATATGAAAGATTGTTTCAGAATGAATTCACAACATACCCAATTTCTGATCACAATTTGACAGTGAAAACAGAAGCCCATTAAACTTAGGCTAATAAAAACTTAGGTCACTTACTTATAAATAAGGACTGTAGAGTTCCATGAAAATTGTGACGCAACAGCACTAAGGAAAAGAGCCTCTATATTTTACATGATCGATATTTCTTATGAAAAAAAATTATTTCAGTCAGATGTCTTTATTTTATAAATGCAAAAAGGGCAATTAGTTTTAATAACATTTAACTAGAAATTAATTACCTTGATCATCAGAAACATCAAACTATGGTATACCTTATTTCAAAAGTCTGAAGTCTTCCTAAATCACCATATACTTTAAAGCCAAAATATATAATGTAAAAATTAATTTTCTGAAAATTAATAATATATACTAATATTTTGAGCAATAGATCTCTAAAGTCTATGTGTGTCACTACTCAACAGGACTGTTAAAAAAAAACAATGTTTGAAAAGAAAGCCATCCATTTCTTTATTGGTGTCAACAGATTTAAAATGGTATCTAATTAAAAATAAAAAAATAAAAATGATATCTAATTTTTAGATAATGAGAGGTTTAATTATTCTATCTGTCAGTTTATTTGTCTAAGATATTAAAATCATATCTAAACACCTTTCATCATTCTTATATTTTTTTACTAAAGATTAATTACACAAACCCTGTAAGAGCATTTTGTAACCTGTAAAAGTAACTAGCTTACCTGTATTTTCCTTTTGTTCTCTACGCCTAAAAAAATGGATAACGTCCTTTGGATTAGCTACCCGATCCACAAATTGCTGGCTAAAGCGAAGAACACTGAAGGGTTCAAAACCTCCACTGTAGTCCACCTGGAAATACAGAGTAACCATACGAAAGGTAAGTTTAACAGCTTGCTAACTTGTAAGAAACATACTCATTATTCAGTATTTATAGTGCTTATGCTCAATACTATTAAATTTATAAATTTTTACAATACATTTAAAAGATCATGATGGTGTTATAACATTTATCCTATTGAGAAAAGAATGCTTGGAAAGTTTGTGAGCAAAATACTTTGTTCAATGGAATCAAGATAAACAGTAATTTCCAGTGTTGAAATGATTACATCTCCCCATGACATTAATATCTAGGTACCTACCAGGCACCTCATCAAAGGAAGAAGGCAGAATTTCTAAACATATTTCTTAACTTTCAAGACAACAAAACAAAGAACATCAAAATAAAATAACAACCCGGCTTGGCACCCATAGCACAGTTATTATGGCACCAGACACAGCACCAAGGCTGGTGGGTTCGAACCCAACCCGGGCCAGCTAAACAACAATGACAACAACAACAACAAAAAAATGGCTAGGTGTTGTGGCAGGCACCTGCAGTCCCAACTACTTGGGAGGCTGGGGCAAGAAAATAGCTTGAGCCCAAGAGTCTAAGGTTGCTGTGAGCTATGACACCATAGCACTCTACTGAGGTGGACGTAGTGAGACTATGTCTCAAAGAAAAAAAAAAACCATGAAATGACAACCCTACATGTATTAGTTAATTGCTCTATCATCTTAGGGATGTGCCTTCATACTAGACAAAGATGGATGCTGGGAAAATCCAAGTAGAAAAGCCTCCAATCTGTGAGCTTAGAGAATGATTATCTTCAAAATGTGCATCTTGATGGGACTAACAATCTCTTTTAAGGCAGGCTCTATCTAAAAAGTCCATAATGGTAAATAGACCTTACAAAGAGAAGCACCACCTTCCCTTCTAAGACATATGATCATTTTTCCTAAACTAACTATTCTCAAAGTAAGATCCGGGAACCAGCATGCCCCACACCACCAGCTTATCCAGAATGCTCCCCAGCCCAACTAGCACCAACATTTCCGCTCTTCATCATACACAGCACTACCTGCTACGTTTTCTGTTCATTTACCTGGTATCTATTATGTCTCTCCTCACATCTCTACCTCTTGTAAGCTCAACAGATGCAAAACCTCATCTGTTTTAGTGTTGCTGTGTCCTCCAGCATCCATAACAGAAGGAACTCCATAAGATTTGTACAACATATTAATAAATTTTTTTTTTTTTGAGACAGAGCCTCAAGCTGTCCCCCTGGGCAGAGTGCCGTGGCATTACAGCTCACAGCAACCTCCAACTCCTGGGCTCAAGCGAGTCTCCTGCCTCCACCTCCCAAGTAGCTGGGACCACAGGCGCCCGCCACAACGCCCGGCTATTTTTTGGCTGCAGCCGTCATTGTTGTTTGGCGGGTCTGGGCTGGGGATTCGAACCCGCCACCTTAGGTGTACGTGGCTGGCGCCTTAGCCGGTTGAGCTATAGGCGCCGAGCCAACATATTAATAAATTAATGAGACCCCTTTAGTAAATACACTGTAGCTTTGCAGTATTACTTACATGTCAATATCTGCTCTTTTGTTTCATGAATGAATGAATGAATGATTTACTATGTTTAGGTAAAGGAATAAGAATTTCCTATTTATATCTGCTTAGTTCTAATGGTGCCCGCAAACATAGATGAGAAAAATGGTATCTTTTGCTCTGATGAAGACAACTATATGATTTCCTTAAAGTAACTTTCTATTACATACCTAGACCATCTCTATAGTGGTCATATTTTAAGAGACAGAATACTAAATCCTAAAACTCCCCCAAAAACTCTTCAGACATTTTAACAATTAATATACCAGCCTAGCTTTTTATTTGTAATTTTCTGCTCCTAAGAGTCATAAAACCCATTCATTAAATAAACTCAATGTTCTAGGCATTCTGCCTGCCTCAACCTGGGAAGAATAGGCATCTGGTTGGTCATGCCCATCTCCTATCAGCCAGAGACAAAGCAACCCCCTGTTTGTCCCAACTTGGCTTTCCATCTGTGCCCAGGCTTGGTTCATGCCTTGGATATATGGGTTAAAAAAATTAAACAAAAATGTGACTGGTGCTGTAAGAGGTATGTGCAAAATAGAATGAGGACACAGAGGAAGAGGCACCAATGAGGTCAGATCAAGAAAGTCGTTCTTGAAGAGGGAAGCTCCAGGTGGGTACTAAAAGTGTAAGCAAGGAAAAGGGAACTGTGCTCCACATAGCAGGATGAACAGGCACAAAGTTTCCAGGGAAATAAAGGCTACTGGGTCCAGGAAGTTGTTAACTTTTGGTCAGACAAGACTAGAGCTTGAGATGTGCCTGCAGAGAAGGGAGGATAAAAACAAAGAGGTTGATTTAGACCAGATCATAGACTTCCAAGTACTACTTTAAAAAGTTTAGACTTTTTCCTGTCAGTGCTAGGGGATCATTAAGTTGTTTCCAACAGGAAAGACACACAGATGGTATTGTACAAAGATCACCTGGGCATTATGGTGGAGAAAAAGCTAATGATGGGAAGACAAGAGGCAGAGCCCTGGCAGGAAGCTGCAGGAATAATCCAGTAAGTGATAATAAGGACTCAAGTACAGCAGTAACAGTGGGATAGAGAAAAGGGACCAGACCACTTATTGTACATAACGTAATTCATCTGGATCTCATAAATCTATGGTGTACAAACCAAGGGACAAGAGATCTAGTTGCTCAATGTCATATACCTAGTAGCAGTGCCAGAATCAAACCCCAGCAGTCCCACTCTAGACTGAACTGTTTATCCCCTTTACCTCCACGATCTATATCCCAGGATTTCCTAAACTTTAATGTGCATACACATTTCTCAAGAATTTTGTTAAAATGCAGTTGGACTTGATGTGTGGCGTGAGAGTCTTTGTTTTTAGTAATTCCCCAGGTGATGCCAATGCTGCTGGTTTAAGGACCATACTCCTTGAGTACCAGGTTGTTGGGGAACCCTAGATGTACAGATATATCAACATGGAAGTCTAAGTAAAAGTTTAGGAATCATTACTCTGTAGGTGGTTGTAAAAGGCATATACCTAGACTGAAAAAAAGGCTAAGAGTTAGGAAGGGATACAGAGAACTCAGAGAGTGCCAAAGAGTGATTCAGCAAGATGAGAAAAAAAAAAAAATCAACTCAAGTTCACCTTTTCTACTTGCTATGGGAGGTCCCAGCCTTGACTACAGTGACCTGGGGAAGAGAATGTTAAATGAAGAGGACAGGTTATATATGTTTAGGGGCTTGGAAGAGAGTAAGAAAGACAGGGTAGGAACTAGAAGAGAAAAGCACAGAGGTAAAGAGGCCTGTGGTTATTTCTTTGTTTATATCACAATGGAAAAGATAAGCAGGCTCATAGGCATAGAAAAAAATTCAAAGAATAACCAAGTGTATTATGTGTTATGGGGGAGAAAAGGAAAAGAGGAAGGAAAAGAAAGTCAAGTGAGGAGCTCTGCAGAGAAGGTGTGGGAGTGTAATCTTCATGAGGGTGGGGCCGTGGTCAGGTGACAGGGGAGCAGCCTTGAGGGCAGTGAGTGGGTCAGACATGCTCAGAGACCCCAAGAAGGCCAGAGTGAGAGATGGAGAGTTAAAGGTGAAGTCAGAGCTCGCTGGTAATCTATTAAACAGAACAACAATGAGAAAAAAAGAAAATGAGAAAAAGAAGAAATTATCAAATCTAACAAATTATGATTAAGTCAAATCCTTGCAGCTTTATTGTTTTTGCCTCCAATGATGATTGTTCTTTATTATTATAAAGACTCTTCTTACTCCTTTTCCAAAAATCCAGTACACTACTATACTTTGAAAATTAATAGTTTAATTTATGTAAACAGGACTTACTCGCAGTCGTATAAGAGGCTTCTCTGGCTGTCGAGAATTTCCTAGACGTTCCCGTTCAGCATTTTCAAGCATTACCTTAATCTTAAAATAAAAATAAAGATTAATATCAAAGTACTAAATTTTATTTAAATTGGCCGAATAGAAGTTTATATTCCTACCATTTGAATTTCTCTGAACAGCATAACAATCTTTATTTCCTCGGTAATTTAAACACCTGAAATATACCTTCTTCTAATGCTTTCATTAATACTATTCCTTAATGTTTTTCTTCAGAGAAATTATTAATAAAATAATTTTTTCAGTCTCAAAAGCAGTGATTTTCAACTACTGTGCTGTGAGAGGATTTTAGATGTGCTGTGAAAATTTTTAAAGATCATCAATCAAATTATTTTCAAAATAAATTCAAAGTACAGTAAGTATAGTTTTCTTTTTACTCTATTTTTAATCAACATAAATTTAAGTGTGTCACAAAAGTTTAACTATAGGTTCAAGTGTGCTGTGAGATTAAAAGGGTTGAAAAACATTGCTCTAAAGTAATTCTTTTAAAAGATATTTAAAACATTACTCCTGTTCCAATTTTCTACTCATATTTCAATAAGGCTTATTTCATCTTACCAACTAAAAACCAAATAAATCAGGATGGGTGGGAATGGTGGTTCACACCTGTAATCCTAGTATTCTGGAAGACTGAGGCAGGTGCATGGCTTGAGGTCAGGAGTTTGAGACCAGCCTGAGCCCAAGCAAGACCCCTGTCTCTAAAAATAGGCAGGTGCTGTGGTGGGCACCTGTAGTCTCAGCTACTCAGGAGGATGAGGCAAGAGAATCACTTGAGCCCAAGAGTTTGAGATTGCGTGAAATATGATGCCAGGGTGGCAAAGTGAGACTCTGTTTTAAAAAACCAAACAAATGAACAAAAAATCTTGTTTTCTCAGTCATATCATCCATGAAAGACTAACCAGAGTATTTAGGGACCTACCTATCAGTAAAGGATCTTGGGTTATTTATCTTGGAAGAGTTCAAGTTAAAAGAACGTAAGACGAATGTTTTCAAATATCTTACGTTATCTCAAACTATAAGAGGATATGGTTATAAGATTTTAGACCCGAAAGAGATCTGAGAACAAAACCACTTGTTCTTGAGAAGAGAAGCAAGTTACAAGCAGGCAATAATACTAAAAGCCTTTTCACACACATGGTTGTGTGTAGAGTGATTAGATGTCTTCAGATGGCCAATTTCATAGCTGAACAACTCTCATCAGAAAGTGCTTCTGCTGTAATTAAAATCTGCCTCCTTATAACTTGGTTCTGACCTCAGGAACAATACACACAAGTGTTTTTGTTCTCAGATCTTTTCTGTGTCTAAGCTTGTCCTTTAAACTTAACAAAGCATCCAAACAGAACTTTCCATGATGATGTTTTATATCTGCAATATTCAACAGAGTTGCCATGAGCCACATGTGGATATAGAAGACTTAAAATATGGCTGGAACAAGTAAGGAGCTGAATTTTTGATTTAATTTTTATTAATTACATGTAAACAGCCACACATTCTAATGATTATCATACTGGATAGCACAGATCTATAATAAAATCATCCAAGTCAATTCTTTGAACTCAACAAAAAAAATTTTGTTGTGGTCAACAGAGCACATTTTTGCCAGGTACCAGGTCAAACATCTGGGTATTTCAAATGGACCTCTATTACTTTTGTGTCACCATCATCTTCTTTCCTCTCTGTATTCATGTTACCATTCAAAGTACAAAGGATTTAGGTGAAGTTGATTCAGTGGATCTCAAGCAGAGCCCTTCATCCAGCAATAGACTATATACCATCAACTGTTAGGAGAGAGGGGAACCTCTCTCCACTCTAGTAAGTGGTTCATAGGACTGAAATACTCCCTCAACTAAAGTAGGTCTTATTGAATTTATTTAAAAATATTACCTTCTCCAAACAGAAGTTTTGTATGGCTTCGGTTACTTTAGGATTATCTGGGTTAAAAATGTCCGGATGATTAGCCAGAACAACATCCTCCATGAAAAACTGCCGCACTGTCTGAAGAGGAATTTTCTGCATATTCATCTTCCTCCCTTTAATACGCAGCAAACCAACATGTCTGAAATGGAGAGAAATAAAAATCTAGTCACAACGTACATTTCCTCAGGAAAATGTGCACATCAAAGCTATATTACTTCTTACTTTCTTACTTTATAAAAATATTTTTTGATAACATCACATCCTTAAAAATAAATATTTTTGGCAATTTAATACTAACGTTATCATCAAAGGAAAAAATGGTAAACATTCTCCTTCCCCAGAATAAAATCTACTCACCCATTATTTTTTCTGCTTGAACAAATATACAGTTACATGGAAAGACAGGCATAATAGTAAGCAAAATAAAATGTTATCAAGACTAGGAAAGCAGCCCACGCCCAGGGGCTCATGTCTGTAAATCACCTGAGCGCAGGAGTTTGGGACCAACCTGAGGAAAATGAGACCCCATCTCTACTAAAATTAGAAAAACTAGCCAGGTGTTACGGTGGGCGCCTGTGGGTGGACCCAGCTACTCAGGAGGCTGAGGCAAGAGGATCACTTGAGCCCCAGAGTTTGAGGTTGCTGTGAGATATGATGCCCCAGCACTCAACCCCAGGGCTACTAAGATTTTTGTCTCAAAAAGAAAAAAAAAAAAGACTACAAAAGTAGTATGTATAGACTATATTACATATTATTATATATATACACACATACATGATTTCACACCAGAACCATGAAAAAACACCCCAACACACAGACATTCTATGACCATACTCTTTAAACCTATTATCATCATAACAATCAGAACTTGAGTAGATTCAATGGGCAAAACCCATTATAAAAATTAAGTTCAATCACTGGTAAGTATTCTTTTTTGCTACATCATTTCCCCAAAGAATTAAAAGAAATGAAATATGCTATAAAATTGCATTTGTAGTGAGAAAAATCTAAAATGGTCTTAAGGGAATTTGTTTATAAATGGACTTTGTGAAATTAGTCACCACTTACAGCATCTAACTTAAATTTAATAAATAAAAATGTTAGTTTTAAATATGCCTAATGAGTACAAAATCATTAATGCCAATTGGATGACCTGTTATTGAAAATGGCTAAAAAATATTGGAAAACAGTAAGATTATATAGAATAATCAATCTTCATAAATAAATCTATCATATAAATAACAATATTGCTTATACTTTGAACCTAGGAGATGATTAGAATTTTATTATAGCAAGGATTCCTTAAAAATTGACTTGAAATATATAACCATTACTCACTTCTTTATAGCTTCTCCTGGGGAAAGAGCAGTAACCACAGAACTTCCGGGCTGCGATATGTAAAAGAGCTGCTGTTCATTTTTGGTTGGAGCTATTTTGCACTCATGTTCATGGCCCCAGATAACAAGATCAATGAAGTCATCCAAAAATTGTTCTGGAATAAAGTTAGTGCTTCCATGTTTACTCCTATACCAAGATTTTGAAAAATAAATAATGTAAATTCACAGCGATTTAGAAAACTTTCATATTAAATACACCTATATAGGACTTTTCCTCCATTTACTAAAGATTTATTACCTCATTCTATGTGCCAGAAACTGTGCGAGAGATTGGAAATGGAAAGATAATTAATAGACCTCAAGAGGTTTACAAACTTCAGAATACAAACAAGTGGAAACCCTAAAAAAAGGAAGCAGTCGATTCTACATTTAGGGGAAGATCATCAAAGGTTTTACACAGGTAGGAATCCCCCTTGGCCATATCAGAAAAGCATAAGCTTTGTCAATAGCTGAAATCTATAAATCAGTATAATTATATACTGAAAAAATACAGAAAACGAAAATGAGTTGAGTACAAATGTCCAATAATTTTTAATGTCATCTTTTACTAATTATAAAAATGGGAGTGAAACTGTTAATCTTACATATGAGATAAGAGTTTTAATATAAATTATCACATAAATGATTTGCAAGAGGGACTCTACCTAACAAATGCATCCATTGTAACCTAGTTGTTGGTACTCTCATGTTAACCTGAAATAAAAAATAAATAAAATGATTTGTAAACTCTAGTGTTATACCTAGACCAGTTATTTAAGGATATGTGAAATCCAAGAAAGAAAAACACACAAGTGTCCTCTAGTGAGGGGAGAGTAGAAGGGAGCGGGGAGGTGGGAGGTGACTGGTGAGACCCTGCCTCATGTGCACGGTGTGGGGGTGTTCAGTGCACCCCCTGGGTGAAGGGCTCAACTATAATTTGAACTGTACCTTAGAAATGAAAACAATGTAACCTAAACATTTGTACCCTCCTATCAATCTGAAATTTAAAAAAAAAAAAAGAATATTCTTTAGAAACAAAAAATTTTTAAAAAGATACATGAAATCTCAAGTGAAGACAAGAAGAAAAAGTTTCCCTTAACGTTAACTTATCATCAGAGATTTAAGTTAAAGTGTTCAAGTACTTCAACTTAACATTCACTTAATCCAAATTAATAGTCTTTCATTTGCCCAACAAATACTTACTCTCAACTTTATGCTAGAAATGCTAGGCTTCTTCAAGATTGAAGACACCAAGTCTTTGTTGTAGCATAGGATATAAACAATATATGTTGAGCATCCCTAATCCCAAAATTTAAAATACAAAACTTTTTGAGACGTAAGTAGAAAATTCCACATAAGTACTTAACACAAACTTTGTTTCATGAACAAAATTATTTAAAATCTTATATAAAACAACCTTCTGGTTATAAGTATAAGGTACACATGAAATATAAACAAATTTTATGTTTAGGTATGAGTCTCACCCCAAGATATCATTATACATATGCAAATACCCAAAATCCAAAAAATTCCCAAATCTGAAACATTCCTGGTCCCAAGCATTTTGGATAAGGGATACTCAATCTATAATACAAAATACATGTGTGCATGTGTGTATGAGTGGGTGTGTATGTGACCTGTCAGGCAGTGATGGGTACCATAAAGAAAAATAAAAAGTTACATGAGGGACATATTACCCTCCATATATATGGGGTAGCCAGGAAAGGCCTCTCTGACAAGTACCAAGGAGCAGAGAACTGAAAGGAAGGATCGGTTAGCAAGAGAAGAAAGTCCTGGGCAGGAGAAGAGCAGAGAGCAAAAGTGCTAAAGCAAGAAAGTGTTCAGTAAGTTCAAGACTAGCAAGATCAGTGTGGCTACGCAGAACGAATGCAGAGAAGACAGAAAATCAAATGAGTGGCCAGAAAATTTTTTTAATGTAAAAACACACAACTAGGGAATGAGATTATCACAATAAAGAAACTCTCAAATATAACATGATGCCATTCCGCCTGCCTTCGCTGAGTGCTGGCTCTAATTTGTGACTTAGAAGCTAATCAAAACATCCTTGTTGAAAGATTTTGCATAACAAAGTCCTCTTCAGATTCTTCCTTCTTTTGCACACAGGAGAAAAACCCAATGATGTAAAAAAAAAAAAAAGAAGAGAGAGAGAGGAATAAAACACAGAAGACTCAAGAATTCCCACCCAATCAGAAAAAACCTTCTGTTTTTAAAACAACAAGAAAAGAAGTATCTAAAGCTGCACAAGGTAACAGACAAATCTAAGGGCATTAAAGAAGAATCCCACAACCACAATGCAGGGACTGGGGAGGAAAGAGCTAAGTAACTTTGGAAAATGGTATTTTGACTAGATATACCAAGGCTAAAGACTAAAATAACTTACATAAACACTGTACCCAATTTGGCAGATTTGTTTCTGATGGGGGTATGGGTTAGCAATTTTGAAATTACTTTATATGTAAACCTGCACTGAAAAAAAATAAGTCAATATATTGGAGATAATGTAATCTAGGTTTCAGTTAGCAAAAGAAGTCATAAGTAAAGAAAGGGGGAAGACACAGAGAGACCCTGTGGGGCTGGATTAGAAGATGAATTTGCAATTATTTCTTTAACACACAGTTAGATACAGAAATACAGATGTGGATGTATATGTATGGGTTACTATACATAATTGTATATTTACTTAGCTTTATTCACTGGGAGGGTTTATATATACTTAGCTGGATATTTGTTAGCTTTATTCAGTGGGGGGGGGGGGGTGTTAAGAGAGCCCAGTAGCAATAAGACACTCAGTACCCATATATGGGTTTCTGAACACCACAATTAAAGGAGCTAGAAACTCCTTAGAGAAGTGGTTGATTCCAGGTCTAGGGCAGAAAAATACAAGAGCTTGGAACATCTTGTGGTGCTGTAATGATCAAAGTGGAAACAATCCAAGGAACAGTAAGGATTAAAAAAAAAATGACAGTATTGAATTATAACTCAAAGAATAAAATAAAGATCCTTAAATCCATAATAATATAAATAAAATGAATAACTGAATAAGTAAATAAATGGGGAAGCAGAAGAGACAGAAGTTCTTTACAAAAGAATTCCAATTAATAAATACAGAAAGAGGCTCAGTGCCCATAGCACAGTGGTTACAGTGCCAGCCACATACACTGAAGTTGGCAAGTTAGAACCTGACCCCGGCCAGCTAACCAACAATGACAATTGCAACAAAAAATAGCCAGGTGTTGTGGCAGGTGCCTGTAGTCCCAGCTACTTAGGAGGCTGAGGCAAGAGAATTGCTTGAGCCCAAGAGTTTGAGGTTGCTGTGAGCTGTGACAATACAGCACTCGACCAAAAGCAACATACTGAGACTCTGTCTCAAAAATAAATAAATACAGAAAGAATGAGGGAAATTTAAAAAAATCGCTATTACAGCACTACAATAGTAGTGGAGATAAGATCACCAATGGATAGATCTTGGGTGAAAGTTTAAAGTGAAACAGGATATTTGGATAGTCTCAAAGTATTTTTCTCAAAATATTTATTAATTGTGAAATAGAAAATGGGAAATTTACATTGATGAAATCAGGTATGCACCCCCATAATCAAATGATCAAGGCTAACATCACCAGCAATGAGATGAATCAACAAACTACGCTGACTACCCTTTCCTCGTACCAATGCTGCCATTCTACCTTTCATCCTGGCTTAAATTCCCAGAATTCCTTATGGGTTTTCCTTCCAACTTATCGCTACTTTAGCATAGTACAAAGTGTGGTAGAACTGGGAAGCACTAAGCAAGAGAAAGAACAACTCCTAGTGGTGAAAAGTTACGTGGAGACCACACACATCAAAACTCTGGCCTGCTCCTTCTTTGAAACTCACAATGTTCATTCAAGAACTCACACACAAGAAAACAAAGTCAGACTCCTAATCCTTTCTTTTACCCAACACTTAGCATAAATTTGTATTCAATAAATGCACAGTCTGCATCTAGTAAATGTGTTCAATAAATATAGCTGGCCCTCTGTATTTACCATTTCTCAGATTCAACCAATCATGCATCAAAGATATTTAAAAACCAAAAAGTAAGAGTACAATAAAAAATACAAATTTTAAAAAGCAATACAGTATGACAAGAATTTACATAGCATATGTTGTATCATAAGTACTCTAGATTTAAAGTATATAGGAGGGTGAGTATAGATTATATGCAATTACAGTAGAACTTCCATATTTGACCACATCCCTACACTGCCCATCTCCTTAAGTTGACCTAATTTTCAAAGACTGGATATGCACCACATGTACACAGGGGTACAGTAGGCCTAGTTCCTTACGTTGACCACTTCCATACATTGAGCAGTTTGTTGCAGTCCCTTGGGTGGTCACTTTACAGAGTTCTATTATACTACTCCATTCTATGCAAGCATCTGAGGATTTTTAAATCCACGGGGCATCCTGTAAACCATCCCCCACTTTGACTACAGAGGGATGACTGTAATAAATCATATAATCAGGCCTTAAGTCCCTGAGATTCATTCTCTACAACTTCTCAGGTTTGACCCTCCCACATAACTGCCATCACCTTCACAAGCTCATTTTCACTGTAGTGCTCACATAGGAAATCTTGCTTTCTCAAGTTTCTCTTCCTTTCAATCCATCCTATACTCTAATGACAGATTAGACTTCTTAAAACTAACAGAAGAAAGCTAATCTAGCTATATTTACATATTCCGGAAAAACACTTGCATATATTTACCAGGAGATGTGCATAAGAATGTTTGTAACAGCCAGGTTTATAAAAACAAGAAAATCAGAAATGAAATGTTCATTAACTGTACACAACAGTAAAAATTAATTACATTTCTAAGCAGCAAGGTGAATGAATCTCAGAAATGCTGAGAAATAAAATAACTGTAAAATATACAGCATAACACAATTATGGATGTATTTGTGATCAAATAATAAAGAAAAGCAATGGTATGATTAATCTAAAATTAAAAACAACAGAAGGAAGATAAGATAATGTATTGATAAGATTCTACATTTTTGCTGAATTCAGGAATATTGATTTTATGGTTATTATTATGGCTTATCCACAAGCTACATATATTCTTTTACAGGTATTAATTTATACAAAGAAAAATTTCAAAATGAAGTCACACAAAGCCAAGTTCTGCCTGATCCTGCACTACAACCTTGAAAGAGTAAGGCCATTTTACTGAAGGAGCTTCCAGAGATTCAGGGAATCTCAGTACTTGGATCAAAATTTTTCAGAGAATACTTTTACCTGTTCTGATGAATCACAAATAAGTTAAACCAAGAGTTCTCCTCTTCTTTTGGTCTCAACATTGTTACTTTTTTATTGACAAACATTCGATAGAGCCTTTCATCTGGAATGGAGCCTGAAATGGACATATCATTATTTTAAAATTATTTTCTTACTTGAGTTTAAAAAAATGAATGTATTTGCTTCTAAATAATGTGCTACTCAAAGTATTTCATTTTACTGTTTAGAGATATATTTGAATTCTGGAATCATTTATTAATGAGTAGCTCCAGTTTTTGATGACAGACAGCTACTAGGTACATTCAAAAAATACTTTCCATTTCAGGCACATATACCTTAAAATAAACAAAATGTGGAATAAAAATGTGAGAGGGCTATGCTTAAATTCTTATTTAAACTTCTAGTAATGTTTTTCATTATCCCTTTATTATAAATTATAAGTATATATACTTTTGAAGTAACATATACATTATAACATGCATAGAACTAGATATTGAAAGGGATGAGATTTTTAAAAAGTATTTAAAAACACAACATTCTTATTCATATTGTAAAAGCACAAAAATAAAAGTATTATGCTTTTTAATAAAACAATTCTTCTAGTACTCCATAGGCTCAGCTTGGTTTAGTGAAAAAGATCAACAAAAACAAGTCAAGAAAATAACTATAAACTGTAAATACTATAAAAGGGGGGAAGCCAGGACCTTAAGACGGAGAATAACAACACAGGCAGGGTTGGGAGGAACAAGGTTGACACTTCAAACACTGATTAAAGAGGTTTCAGAAGAAAAGCTAACCATGCAGAAGCACAGGAACTAGAAGTGGCCCAGCTCCCCAAGGGAGTTCCTTGGCATGGCCCATGGCATAGCCGGCTGAGGTAGAATGCAGAACATATAACTGAGACAAAAAAGTGCAGGTATTCAAAGTCCAGGACATTAGGAAGTTAATCTAGGTAGGGGCTGAAGCACCGAGAAACTCACAAAATTAAAGGTAGGTGGGTAGGTAAAAAGTTTGAGGGAAAGAGAAAGACAAGTTTAGCCCAGCAGAGTAAGCTTCAAGGGAGCAGAGTATCTGCAGGCAGGAAGGGACGTGGTGTGGGGAGCAAGAACAGTAATCTCCTCCACTGCCCAAAAGCCATGGGTAAGAGAACCACACAGAACACAGAACCTCAGAGTCCAACTGGGCAACATTCAGAGAAGAGAATGGCGACACTCAGGACTCTGCCAATTATACGAGTTCTAGAGTTTATAGGGAAGTGTTGTGGTAAGGGTACAGGGAGGAGACAGAGTCCACTTATGGAAAGAAGAACAGGACCAATAAAGAGACTGGGGAAAATGGATGACTAAAGAGATGTGTTTCTGGCAATGATTGAGAAATAATGTCTTTAGTCTGAATACAGGAGAAGAAACCTTTTTCAGGAGATTTGTTCCCTAATGTTGAAGTGATTAAAACAATTGTTAATAGTTTTTTTTAATGTATATTTCATTTCATGCTCTATCAATTGCAAAATCAGACATAATGCCCAGATCTCATTTTCCATATCTAAAATATAAATGACCATGATTTTCTGCTTGCTAGATTATGAGAGCTGCACAAGGGCTGTCAGCTAGTGGTTACTGTGTTGGACCATGAAGCTTTAGACCATTCAAAGACTTTCAAGAGATCAAAAAGGACTTTTGCTAATTATTCTATAATTTTGGGTTCTACACGTGTATATCTGAGGCTAAAAGGCAAAAATACAACGTAAAGGAAAATATTTTTTATCAGAACTGCTATTTTTTTAATTCCAAAAAATTTTTACCAAAATCTTTCATTTTTTACATTTACCAACGAGAAATAATCAGATTTGCCCCACTTTTACCAAAGTTATCTCCAAAATTTGGTTTCCTAATTGTTTAAACAATCTCTTATTGATCTAAATAATAAAATAAAACCATCTTACCTAAGCCATACAGTGCAATTTTTGTGCTTCCTTTTTGAAGCAAAACTGGACTAATGTCTATCTTTTCCACAGACATTGAACGTCCAAAGTGATTAACAAATCCAGCACAACTTAAAATATCCAGGGCACAGAGTGTGTCTGCCTATGCAAAATAATTTCAAGAATATGAATATGAATATAAAAATAAGTGCTCTGTAAGCATATTGCCTGTTAAAAGCATACTCCAAATACTAGTTACAAAAACACAGATGAGGATAATGTCTTCTCAAAACAAAATTGCATAAGTAAAGGTATTTGCTACCTTTTTTCTGTTATAAATCATTTATAGCAACTGGAATCACATGCTAAATACAAAGTTAACATCTCATCAAAGCTTATCATGATGCCTTGGCCACTAAAGGCATGAAATAAATGCTTTGTAATATATTAAACAGACTTCTGTAAACCTGGGGAACAAAGACTACAAATAATTAGAAATTCATAATGACCAGGTAAAAGATATTTTTGAGTTTAAGGTCTCTAATTTTATTGCCACATCAAATATGTATTAGATAAATTAATTTAGATTTTTAAATGTTCATGAAACAATCATCTTCTGTGAGATTTTACAAGACAGATATAAAGCAACAATAAACTATAAAGCAATTTAAAAATAAATGTTAGGTATGTATTCCCACGCTTAGCACTCATAAAATAAAAACATACCTCTTACACAAATTCTTATTCCAGATTTTTAAATAAAAGCTTACATAAAATGATTAAAAAGTCACTGATGATTGCATTAATGTACACAGCTGTGATTTAATAAAATTAAAAAAAAGAAAAAGGGAACAATTTAAAAAAAAAAAGTCACTGACTACAAATTGCTAAGAAAAGGGGGAGGAATATTTTCCACAGATAAACTAAAGTGAATGTTTCTAAAATTTGAACTATAAGAAAATAATAATTACCCCTGTGGGATCATCATGATTGCCGTGAATACTAAACACTGGAATTGAAATGTTGAAATTGCCATCTTGGTAGTTCACCCATGGAAACCTTAAAAAAAAAAAAAGTTAATTAAGGTTTCTAAAAGCTATTTTCCCTAGGATTCTCCTCCAAAATAGTGATGTAATCATAGGCAAACTATATGATCTACATCGGCGAATGACCACTAGTTCAGAGCTTTAAAAAAAAAAACATAAGCACCAATACATCTCAATTAAAGTTTGAAATAACAATTAGTGGTGCTTCTGAATAGCATGTAAGAGTGGCATGCCTGATTAATGAAAAGTAATGATTAACAGGCCTTCAAAATTATGAAAACCTCTGTGTAAGGTTTTTATTTGTAGAAGAGGGAAAGAAAACCCATGTACTTCAGAATCCAAAAGACCTAGATTAAAACTGTTCAGTTCTATCATTACTACCTGTGCAACTCAGTGGCCTGCAAGCTCCAGCCTCCAGCTCTTCCTTTCAGAGGCAAGAATGTTAGCAATTTCTAGTACATCTTTTAAAACGATCTTATACCTATACAAGTTTATCTGTTTGTGTATCTTCCATAGAAAGTATCATACACAAGTAATCATTCACTCAAGGACATAAATATACTTACTTACTAAAACCAAAGTTAACTGACTGATCGCTGATAATTTCAAACTGGACAGGACGATCACCCATACAGTATTTTCTTAACAGCTCGAGGCAGGTATGTAATGTTTTCCTTGAGGGCTTATTTTCATGAAAAAGATCACCACCTAACAAAATAAAATCCACCTAATCAACAGAAAATGATGTTAAAATTAGTATGTTTTACAGATAAAATTTTTATAAACTATAGATGAAAGAAGTAGAAAAAAATCTCACAAAAGACACTATTATGTAAGATGATTTAAAATTTTATATTTTATTTCATCAAAAGGCCTTCCAATCTGGCAACTAATCTCAGTTCAATGTAGGTTACCAAGCCATCTTCAAAAAAGCCATCTTTGGCCATGCAAGGTGGCTCATGCCTATAATCCTAGCATTCTGGGAGGCTGAAGTAGGTGGACTACTTGAGCCCAGGAGTTCCAGACCAGCCTAAGCAAGAGTAAGACTCCAGTGTATACTCAAAATAGAAAAAAATAGCCAAGCACTGTGGCAGGTGCTTATAGTCCCAACTATTTGGGAGGATAAGCTCAAGAGTTTGAGGTGGCTGTGAGCTATGATACCACGACACTCCACCGAGGATGACAAAGTGAGACACTGTCTCAAAAAAGAAAAAAAAAAAGCTATCTCCAAATCGCTACACCAAGTCGCTTACTTAGTGCACCCAAGACGATAATGTTCCTTTTTGTATTTCAAATCTAATATAAACTTAGCACTTTCAAAGAAGGCATATGGAAGAGATACCAAATTCAATTCCAATTATCTAACTCATTTAACAATTATTTATAGAGTTCCTACAGCTATCAGTACCTAAGGAAATAGCAACCTACAAAATAAATGACATCCTTGTCCTCATTAAATACTGAAATTTAAACTCTTAATTATGCACAGGAACACCAAAATACATCCCAGATCACAGTGGCTGTATGTTGACAACGGCAGTTAGGGGAATTTCAATAAAAATGTGGGATTTATGGTAGACCTTCAAGAAAAACCATGATTTAAGAAATAAGAAAGCAAAAGGTTACAGTCAAAGGCACAAATCAACAAAACAAACAAAAATATATTAAGGAATGAGTAGCTATTGCTTAATAGTTATCACTTCTGCAAAATACAGAGTTCTGGAGGTTGGTTGCACAGTACTATGAACTAACACTACTGAACTGCATACTTAAAAATGGTTAAGACGGTATATTTTAAGTTATGTATATTTTGCCACTATTAAAGCATTTTTTAAAAAATATTTTTTACATGCCAGGCATGGTGGCTCACACCTGTAATCTCAGCACTTGGGAGGCCAAGGTGGGTAGCAGGTTCAAGACCAGCCTGAGCCAGAGTGAGACCCTGTCTCTATAAAATAGCCAAGGGGACAAATGAAGGCAAGATGGCCGACTAATGCCAGCTTTCAGCAGAGGCTCACGTCCAGAAGGAGAAATAATGTCTAAAATAACCCAATAAAGCAGAAGATCAGGAGCTGAGCTTAGAGAGAGGATCAACAGGTTCCCATCACCCCAGCTGCAGCAAGCTGGGACTCCAAGGAAATAAATTTCAGGTACAAAACCCATCCCCAAAGAGGACAGGAATCCTTCCCCTCCCCCTCACCCCCAGGAGAGCAGCTTGAAGCTAGGAGAGAACAGAGAGGACCTTTTGTTTCACCAAAGGGAAGAGAACGACTGAGACTGAGGGCAGGACTCCCTCCAAGGAGAGATACCTCGACAAGCCCAGGCAGTCTTTTGCCTGGGCCAAAAGTTGATCTAATATTCTCCCTACCTTCCTGAACTTCCAGTCTACCCCTCCCCCCTCTTCTGGCAGTCTGGAAGACTACCCCCTACAAAATCCAGAGCAGATTTTTGCTAGGGCGGGGCACCTCATGAGCTGTGGGACGGTTGGTCTGAAACTTAACTTTAATAGAGGTGGGGAGTCACAGAGGAGAGAGACTTGCCCTGTCTTGGCCACCGGCTCCTCAGCTGAGCTGGCTCAGCTCCCCACCGGGTTCCTGTGAACTGCAGCCCCAGCCACTCCCGCTGGGTTCCTGTGACCCATGTGGCACATCTCTGGTGACTCCCCGGGCTCCTGTGACCCATGTGGCTGTGGCCAATAATTCTGCCCTCCAGCTCCTGAGACCCGTGGCCTACTGGCCACAACTCCTGCCCAGCTTCTGCAACCTGTGCACGGCCGACTCCCACCCAGCTTCTGCAACCCATGGCCACCAGTGGCTCGCAGCCAGCAACTTCTGCCCAGCCCCTGCGACCTGGGTTGTAGAGGCTCCGACCCCCAGCTCCAGTGACCCACAGCCCCAGGGCCAGGGACTCTGTGCTTCATTCAGCTCTCTGCCAGGTTCCTGAGACCCACAGCCTGTGGCTGGCAACTCTGGCCTGGCTCCTGCAACCCCAGAAGCCCCCAGAGGCTGGCAAATCCATCCTCCAGCTTCCAATAAGGCTCCTGCGGCCTGGGCCAGGGATCAGCAGCTCTGCCCTCTGGTTCCCCACCCAGTTCCTGTGACTCTTGCAACCAGTGGCAAGGCTCTCCAGTTCCCCGTGGACTCTACACAGCAATACCCCAGACCAGCAGCACCACCCCCGACAGTGGTGGCAGCTCCATGGGCCCTCCCACTGTGGTCAAACTGAGCTGCCAGTGGATGCCCGCTGCCTAGATGCTGAAGACTTTTTGAACTCTCTCACCTGATCAATGTTTGTGTCAACTGGTACAATTGGTTTAGAACTCTTAACCTGAGCCAAACACCTGGGGACCAACCAAGGTTGGACCCTGGTTGTGTTGTCATGGGAGTGTGGAATTCTCCCCTTCCAGCTGTTACTTGTGGTGGGTAGGGGTATCTTAGTTGCTTATATATCTTAACAGCTGAGATTTCAGCCCAAAGCCACTGATTCACTACACTAGACAGAGACTAGCCCCACTATTCTTGGTCAGCCCCATCTAGCCCCACCACACCAAACAGGTGCCCAGAGTTTCAGGCTGTAGTTCTGAAGGGGACCTTTGTAAAGCTCTAAGGGTAAAGTGGCAATCACCAATCCCAGTTCCTTGGTAAAGGGCTGGTTAATTACAACTCCGGGAACCCTCAATTCAATTTTCACCTTGCCAGCTTCTCTAGACAAACAGTGAAAAATAATCATGGGGTGGAATCAGCAGAAAAACTCTGGCAACATGAATAATCAGAGTAGAACAACTCCACCAAGGAATGACAAAGGAGACACAACAGAAGATGCCATTCATAAACAAATGGCTGAGTTGTCAGAAATCAAATTCAGAATTTGGATTGCAAATAAGACTAACAGAATGGAGGTAAAGATGGAATTAGAAATTCAAGGAGCAATTCAAAAGTTGTCTCAAGAATTCAATGAATTCAAAGATAAATTCACCAAAGATTTTGACACTTTGAGGCAATAACTTGTGGCCCTCAAGGATCTGAGAAATACAGTAGAATCCCTCAGTAACAGAATGGAGCAGGCAGAAGAAAGGATCTCTGACATTGAAGATAAAGCTTTTGAATGCTCCCAAATGCTCAAAGAAGAAGAGAAGTAGACACCAAAAATGGATCGTTCCCTGAGAAAACTGTGGGACCACTCCAAAAGAGCAAACATTCGCCTCATAGGAATCCCTGAAGGAGAAGAGGATGGTCCAAAAGGCACAGATACGCTACACCAAGAGATAATTAAGAACTTCCCAAGCATGGCAAGATACTGAAATTCAGAGAGTAAACAGTTTTAGAACCCCAGCATGACTCAACCCAAATAAAGCATCTTCTAGACACATTTTAATTAACTTCACCAAAGTTAATATGAATGAGAAAATCCTGCAAATAGCCAGATGTAAGAAAATCATAACGTACAGGGGAAGAAGATTAGAATGACTGCAGATTTTTTTTTTTTTTTTTTGAGACAGAGCCTCAAGCTGTCACCCTGGGTAGTGTCATGGCGTCAAGGCTCACAGCGATTCTCCTGCCTCCACTTCCCATGTAGCTGGGATTACAGGCGCCCACCACAACACCCAGCTATTTTTTTTTTTTTTTTTTTTTGGTTGCAGCCGTCATTGTTGTTTGGTGGACCCCAGCTGGATTCGAACCTGCCAGCTCAGGTATATGTAGCTGGCGCCTTGGCCACTTGAGCCTTCAAGCCAGAAGAGGATGGTCACTGACCCTCAGTCTCCCCAAACAAAACAACTTTCAGCCCAGGATCCTGTATCCAGCTAAATTGAGCTTCATTTATAATGGAGAAGTTAAATACTTTAATGACATACACACATTGAAGAAATGTGCCATAACCAAACCAGCTCTTCAGGATATCCTCAGACCCATCCTCCATAACGACCAGCACAATGCTCTTCCACCAAAGTAAACTCACTCTGAAATTCTTGACCAAAACCCAATTTCCACAGTGGTGAAAAGATTTAAAATTTCCACTGGACTTTTGAAAAACTTGACATCCAAAATACTACCAGGCTTATCAATATTCTCAATTAATGTGAACGGCTTAAACTGTCCTGTTAAGAGGCACAGGTTGGCTGACTGGATACAAAAACTCAGGCCAGATATCTGCTGCATACAAGAATCTCATCTTACCTTAAAGGATAAATATAGATTCAGGGTGAAGGGATGGGCATCTTTAATCCAGACAAACGGAAATCAGAAAAAAGCAGGGGTGGCAATTTTATTTGCAGACACACTAGGCTTTAAACCAACAAAAGTAAGGAAAGACAAGGATGGTCACTTCATATTTGTTAAGGGAAACACTCAACATGATAAGGTATCAATTATTAACATTTATGTGCCTAACCAAAATGTTCCTTAATTTATAAGGGAGACTCTGACAGACATGAGCAATTTAATATCTTCTAGCACCATAATAGTTGGAAATGTTAATGCCCCTTTGGCAGTGTTGGATAGATCCTCCAATAAGGAACTCAGCAAAGAAACTTTGGACTTAAACTTCACCATCCAACAATTGAATTTCATAGACATCTACAGAACATTTCATCCTAACAAAACTGAATACACATTCTTCTCATCAGCCCATGGAACATCCTCCAAAATTGATCACATCTTGGGTCACGGTCTAACCTCAGCAATAAAAGTATAGAAATTATTCCTTGTATTTTCTCAGATCATCACACAA